ATATGGTGTAAGGTAAATGTCTAACTTCATTCATTTACATGTAAATATCCACTTTCCCCAGCACCGTTTGTTGACAAGACCATCCTTTCGCCAGTTGAATGGTTATGGCACCCTTGTCAAAAAATATTTGACCAGGGGCGCCTGGGTGGCTCAGTTGGTTGAGTATCCGACTTCGGTTCAGGTCACAATCTCACTGTTTATGAGTTCAAGCCCCACATCAGGCTCTGTGCTGACAGCTCAGAGCCTGGAGCCTGCTTTGGATTCTGTGTCTTCCTCTCTCTTTGCCCCTCCGCTCATGCTGTGTCTCTCTCTGTCTCTCAAAAAAAAACCCTGAATAAAAATTAAAAAAAATATTTGACCATATATGGAACTTATTTCTGAGTTCTCTTCTATTCCATTAGTCTATATGTCTGTGTCTATATGCCAGTGCCTCATTGTTTTGGTTACTTTAGCTTTGTAGTAAACTTTGAAATCAGGAAGTGTGAGATCTCTAACTTTGTTCTTTTCCAAGGTTGTTCATGGTCCCTTGAGATTCTTTATGAATTTAGGATAGAGTTTCTTCTATTTCTTCAAAAAAAAATTCTTGGGATTTTGATAAGGATTGAGTGAATCTGTGAATTGATTTGAATAAATACCTTACAAATATAAAGACTTGTCCCAAGTATTAAGTGATGTTATCCAAGTGACAAATTTAAGAAAAAGCCAAACTGTTTCATCCTGTGTTTAAAGCCTAATGGGTGGAAATGTTAGCAAAGTGCCTACTAGCTGTCTGAAGGAAGAGTTTCTGTTTGAAGGCAACTTAGATTTTGATTTGTGTGTATGAATGCTTCTTTGTAGATTTATTGTATAATCTGGTTAAGTATTGTGTTCCTGAGTTGTTTAATTATATAGAAGACTTTTTTGAACACCCAAAAGCACTTAATAGAAAATTGCAAGCCCTTTGGAAAAAAAAGTATACTATAGACAGAATCTATGAATTTAAAACAAAATTTCATTTTGGAAGAGTGAGGTTAAAAATGATTCACTGTGATCTTTGGTCACTATTTTAATACTAAAGAACATTGGTTTAACAAGGAGAGGAACATGTATGCATGGCTTGAGAAAGTCTTAATATGAAAAAGTTTGATTTGAAATCTCTTTGCTTTATTACACAAAATTTGAATTTTGCATGTGTCAGTGAAAGCAAAGAACTTTTAGTTTAAATACAGTGAACACGTCTTTAAATTATAATTTAGAGAGTTCAAGTTAACAAATGCCATTAATTATGAGGAAAGAGTTTCTTTTAGTCAGAAAAAGTGAGGAAAACTTTTCTGTCATTTACTTGTATAGTTTTTTCTCTCTGATGACTATCGAGAATTTTGAGAGATCATCATAAAAATGTCTTAATCAAGTTAGCCATTTCAAGTGTAAAACCTGATAAATTAGGTTAATGGAGGCTACTTTATATTTGAAAAGCTTTAATTTGAAACTTATAAACAAATTTAGCACCTAATATCTTTACTAATGATTTTTATTCTTTCTCATATATTTATGTTAAGAAAGTTTAAATGAAGGTTAAAAACAAATCTCCTATAGGTATACCCAAATCCTCTCCAGTTCATTCCAGTTTACTCTTTATTTAAAATTATTAAAATTTATTTAAAAATTACCATATTTTGTGTGCATTGATACATACTGTTATAGCTCATCCTTTCAGACTCAGCTGAACAATTCCTCCAGGTCTTCCTAGACTCCCTCTCCTCTCTCCTCCTTTCCCTATTTAAATGCTTCTCTGCTCATGTAAGAACATTAAAATGTCTTTTTTAGTGTGCCTGGGTGGCTCAGTGGATTAAACTTGTAGCTCTTGATTTCAGCTCAGGTTGTGATCTCTAGTTTGAGTTTGAGCCCAGCGTGGAGTTTGCTTGGGATTCTCTCTCTCCCTCTCTTTCTTCTCCTCCCTTGCTTGTGTGCTCTCTCTCAAAAAAACTTTAAAAAAGGAACTTACGGATTTTGAGTATAACTTTTAAAGTTTGCTAATAGTAGGAGAGTGGTTTTAAAGAGTCATACTCTTGTTTTTTTTATCTAGTGCTTTGCTCTCTCTCCAGTAGAGAAAATGTGACTTCAACCTAACTCAGTAACTTTTCTAGATTTTAGGGTAAGACTTTTTCAATATTTTTAGATTGTGTTCTTTGTCACAAACATTTTTCTCCAAGCCACAAGCCAAATTAATTTTTAGAGGCTAAGCAACTTTTAAGGCTAAGTAAACTGAAAGATTTCCCTTTATATTTCTTAAAAATTGGTGAAAATTGAGATGCTTTTTGACGCTATTTGAATATTTGAGATACTCGAGAAACTTAAGTATCTTTGAGATACTATTTAATTTTAAATCTAGGGCAGTAGAACATTGGTAAATATATTTGGCTATTCTCCTCCAAAAATTTAGAAAATTATTTGGCTATGGTGTTGTAAGTGTAGTAGAAATGATTAAGTGTTATGGTATATCCATCTAGCTAATATGCTAGAGAGTTATTTTTGTGTTTGGGGGAAGAGCACATTTGTTTTGATTATGTATTGACTATTTTGTGTTATGTTGATTAGATTCTTCTTTTAGTGTTTGTTCTGAAACTAATTTATTGCTGAGTATGCTCAATTCAGAGATTGATTTTTGACTATGGATGGAGTATTGATTAATCTGGTGAACATGATAAATAGAAGTTTTCTTAAGGGAGTTTCTACTGTCATATTGTTTCTACTTCAAACATCTTAATACTTTATTTGGGAGATGGTATTTACACACAGGAAAATAACAGTATAGGCTTGTAGAGTGAGTGATTGTTGCAGTTAAGTTTATTGAAGGAAAGGATGACTGATAATTAAAATGATCAGGAAGGACTTCATGAAGGAGTCCTCTAAGTTGTGGTGACAGCTTTCTGAGAGGGGTACCTTGTAAACACAGATAGCATGTGATGGGGAAACTGCAGGTCATTGTGGAGGAAAATGAGTAACAAGTGCAGTGTGTTTTGATTTGGGCTCAGGGAAGCAAATGATGGGAGACACTTAAAACGTTTAATTGGGGTTTATTGTGAAGTTCCTTAATATTCAGCTGAAGGAATCAGAATCATATAGGTTTTGTTTTTGTTTTTTTATCTGTAAGGGACTTTTGGAATTACTTACTAGAATGAATCATTTTATAGAAATGAGAACAAGTTTGTACTTTAATCTTGTAAGCAATAGAGCCTCATGTGAAGATATTTGAGTTAGGCAGTGATTTTTACAGAGATTATTCTTTGTAGGGGTAATAGAATTAGAAGTAAGACATTGTCCTATTAGGGTATTACTTATAATGACTTGAACTGCTTTGGTGACTAATGGTTAAAAAAAAAAACAAGTGGAGTGATTAGAGGAAGGAATAACTAGATATTAATCTTACACTAAGTGTTAGATAGTAAACTTTCAGGATGTTGTGGCTCACACAGTTTTAGACTGTCATGTTTTCTAAGTCTTTATTGTAATAAAACATAAGTCAGTTCTATTTGTCCACTGTGGGGGCAAAGTATACTATTGGAATGTTAGAAAAGTTTTCCTTTAGGGGCAATGATACTTAACTTGCAGTCTGCAGGATGGGTGAGAGTTTTGCACTCGCATTCAGCATTGACAAGAGCATCTCCTGTAGTTGGAACAGTGTTAATAGTTGCTCCGTGGCATGAAATGAGTTGGTCTGGCCAGAAAGTGTAAGCAGTTTTATGGCTCGGGAGCCCGGTGTAGTGTGTCAGCACTGTTAGGAAAGGTGACCGGGAGCCAAATACGAAAGGAGCTCTTTTGTATGCGTTGCAAAGAAGCTTTGTTTGTTTACTTTTTAAACGCGGACAGTGGGCAATCTTGGAAGAGGTTTTCCTCTCAGAGCGTTATCACATTTGGAAGAGTTTATGTTTTCTCCTTACTTTTAATGAGTTAGCCTATTTGGCAGTCTTAGTTCGTGAACTTAGTTTTGAACAAGTTCTCCCTAAAAGAGCTTTTTTCCACCTTCTTATATTAGAAAAAAAAAGTTCTGCAGATATTATTAGAATTCAAGAATCTCACAACAATTTACCTGCCTACTATTTACCAGTGAGCTTGAATATGGAGTAATGTAAAATGTTGTTACTTGGTCTTTAAAAGCCTGCTCATAGTTAATAGGCTTTCATACTTAGCCAGGTATCTCCTATGTAGCCCACAACACGCAGCTTTTCAAAGCAAAACTTTTAGTTCCTAATCGTCATTATTGTCATTATTTTGTTGTAAGAATATAGACTGAATCCACTGTGGCAAGGCATTTAAAAATTATAGTTATTTTGAAGAGTAGTGTATTCAAATGGTATGAAAAAATATGCAATAAAAAAATCTCCTCACTCCATCACCTACCCAGTTCCCTTTCCTGGAGACAGCCAAAATTATTGATGTCTTTATATTCTTCCAGAGATACTGTATGTCTGTACAATCAAGTATATTGTATATGTTCTTACCCCCTCTCCCTTTATACAAATACTGCATAGCCTGTATGAAACATTGTTCTGTACCTTGTTTTTTATTGATTTAACAGTACATTTTGGAGGTTGTTCCATATCAGTCTAAGAAGCTATCCATCCAGAGCTGCTTTGATCTCTTTTTCAGTAGCTGCATAGTATAACAGGATGAGGTTAGCATATTTAACTAGTTTCTCATTTCATGTTTATTTAGGTTATTTTCAGACTCTTGCTGTTGTAAGCAAGTTTGTAGCAAGTGGCCTTGATATATGTTATTTCACATTTGTATGAGTATTCCTGTAGGACCAGTTTCTAGAAGTGGAATTGCTTGTTAAAAGCTGTGGTGTTTATGATATTGGTATAACTTTGGAAAGTAGGGATATTTACATGCATTAAAGCTATGGGATTTTTAAGTTTACCCACAGTGGAGTCTCACTTCATAACCAATGGAAATCTGAGAAATAAATTCATAATTGCTAAACTAGTGAAATGCTTAAAATTTTCTTTTTTATTTTGCAGGTATACCAAACTAGGATATGCTGGAAACACAGAACCACAATTTATCATCCCTTCTTGTAAGTATTCTTTTAAGCCAAGAATAAGCTGTTTTAAAGATTTTTTTTCTTAATAGTTAAAGTAAAAGATAGTTATTTCTGGCACTGTGTAAGATTTAGTTCTTTAAAAATACGATTTGCTAAGTGTGACCTCATTTGCACACCTCTCACCATTCATTTTAGATGTTTAGTTCTTCATTTGCCAAATCTACCAAATGTCTCTTTTTAAAGACAAAAATGAATGAACTGAAAATCTCACAGCTTTCTGCTTTGAGGTATTTCCGTTAACAGTTTGTGGATATAACTGTTCAATAGTGCATCCTCCATCGCACACCTGTGAAGACTGCTCTGTGATGTGTGGACGTGACCTGTGTTTATTGACATGGGAGACCACGTTTCAAAATAAGGATAGTCTCTCCTATTTAGAAATGTTGACTTGAGCTATTTTCTCATTTTTTTTTAAACCATACTTACATTGTTTTTGTTCTATCCTATGTTAACTTCATTTCAGCCTGACTATCAACTTTTAGTAGATTGTCTTTCAGTAGTTTTTAAAAAGTACTCTCACACTTGGTTTGTTAACGCTCTTAGTTGCTAGCATGGATTATGCATCGGGCTTTTGATGGATGTACTTTTGTACTTTTGACTTTCAGACATACAAAGTACCTTTTGTACTTTATATGGTAATACCCCTGAGCTACTTGTCCTGCTGCCAAATCGGAACTTTAACATATCAGGTGAAAAGTCATTTGAACCATTGCTTGGTGGTGCTAACTTCTACAGTGCCACTAGCCTTATAAAATAGTATTTAGGCAGCTGTTTGAATATTTTTGTGTAGTATATCCTTATTTATGAAAATAAGGAAATGGGAAAATAAACATGCAGGAGAGTAGGGAAAACAGCTTAAATTTTAGATCAGTGAAGTTGAGAACATGGTAGAAATTGTAAAAAATGCAGATCTTTAGTTTCCATTGGGCACTCAATGGACATAAATAGGTCAGTGGTTTTGTAATTAATATGGCAAGGACAGAATTCATACTTTACAAAGTATGAGAAATACATTGTTAAAATTGTATTTAAGAGGAGAGGTTTTATATTTGTGTGTATACATATATACACATACATATACATACATATATGTTTATTTTATTTTTTTATTCAAACCTGTTTGAGTTTGTACTTTTGATATACTTCTGGTATACTTAGCTATGAATTAAATGTAAGAAGTTAGGCTTACTACTAAGAGGTACAAATTTCCAATTATAAAATAAGTAAGTCATGGAAATGAAAACTACAGCATAAGGAATATAGACCATAATATTGTAAGTAGTGTTGTATGGTGACAGATGGTCACCACTTAGCCTGGTGAGCACTAAGTAATATGGAGAGTTGCTGAATGAGTATGTTATATGCCTGAAACTAGTAAACATTTTATGTTAATTATACTTCAGTTAAAGAGTAAAACAAGAATTTGGGCTACTACTTAAATGTAATTTAATACATACAATGGATTTTAGGTGACACTGATTAAATAGGTCATTAACGTGACTACAGTGATCTTAGTTTGGCGGTACTATTGTCTTCTCATGTTTTCTTCATGCATGTTGTCTACACAGAAGGACAGGTTTGCTTTTTTTCCTACTTTTTCCTCACATTTATGTATCAATATACTGATTGTTTAAGAATTTGATAACACATATTGGCTTTATTGCCCACTAATAAGGATTTACTTTTGTGGACTAGTACTTGACTTTAGTCATATTTGAGTTTAGTGTTAGACCCTTGTGTATTTTTGTATTTGTGTCCTAAGGCTGCCATAACAAAGTTCCAAAAGCTGGGTGGCTTAAAACATCAGAAATTTATAGTTCTGGAGGCTAGAATTCCAAAATCAGGGTGTCAGTAGGGCCATGGTCTTGCTGACAGCTCTAGGAGAGAAACCCTCTCTGCTTCTTTAGGCTTCTGATGTTTGCTGACAGTGCTTGTACATGCATCACCCCAGTCCCATGGCTGTCTTCTCCTTGTGAGTCATCACGTTGTCTTCCCTCTGTGGCTGTGTCCAAATTTCCTTTTCTATAAGGACACCAGTCATGATGGATTAGGGCCCACCCCAATAATCTCATTTCAACTCAAAAGATCCTGTTTCCAAATAAGGTCACATTCTGAGGTACTGGGTGGAGGTTAGGACTCCAGCATACTTTTGGGGAGATGTTCAAGCCATAAAATGCTTATTTTCTTATTTCATAATTTATAATAATTTATTTCATGAGATTACTGATTTCATTTTGTTTTTTATGTTCTTAAGTGGCTGTGTTGTCTTTGTTGGACACTCATATAATCTTGATCTTTGAAACCTTAGGATCTCATTACCATTGTACCCATTCTCTATTTTGTCTCTTTGCCAAAATATGCAACTTTAGTTTTCATTGTCATTCTTATGAGAAGTTGTAGCATGTTAAAAATCCATTTGCCTACTGAAAGAAGGTTTTTGATTTTGGAGTTTTTGAGTTGGGTTTTTTTCACCCAATTTTGATGCTACAGGTCCAGTTTTTATAATCAGCAGATACAGTCAGTTGCCACTGATGAGCATGAATATTTGACCTGGAAGGCCTGTAGATATGGTTCAAAGTTATTTGCATGTATCTTTGTTTGAAACTTGTAGTGAGCCATCTGGATGTCTATATACATTATAAATAAATTACTAGGAAGCTTTCTAACATTTTGAAGGAATAGCCTGGGTTTACAATGTCTTTCCTTCAGTATTTTCTCCCCATCTTGTTAAGGATATAATTGTTATTAAATGAAAGTTTAACAGTTGAATGCTGGATCAGTTTAAGTGCATGCAGATAATTATTTTGAATGAATGACTGCTTAACTTGAAGGATTCAGAAATTTATATCTTAATTAAGAAATACATAATAAGTTTTAGGTCAAGAACTATGGCTGGGTTTCTGAAATTATTTAAGGGGATTCTTGTGGGTTTTACCTAAGTAATTTGAAATTTCCCTTTGAATATGGGATTAAAGTTTAACAGAACCCTATGCCAGTGTTGTATTTAAATTTTATTTTTTATTTTTGAGAGAGTGCAAGTTGGAGAGCGGCAGAGGATCTGAAGTGGGCTCTGTGCTAACAGCAGCAAGCCTGATGTGGGGCTTGATCTCATGAAGTGTGAGATCATGACCTGAGCCCAAGTTGGACGCTCAACCAACTGAGCCACACAGGTGCCTCAGTGTTACATTTGAATTGCTAGTCCATAGTAGTGCAAATAAGGAGAAAGCTTTTGAAAGAAAATTCCCCTTGTAGTTTTCCCATTTTCATTTGTTAGTGTTTCTTTCATTTTTTTTCTGATTGTCCATTAAGCATATGTTCATTTGATGGGATTATAATCTTATTTAAATCAAAATGGATCCTGCATAGTTTTAAGAAATATAACTGAAATATTCCCACAGCACTACTTCTATTATGGCTTTTACACTTGAGGCCTTGTCCCTGCATGGATGCTGAGATTTCATTGTGTTAAATGAATTTTGTCATCGATTTCTTAAATGACCTTTGTGCTCTCCTTTAACAATTTAAGTATGTTAGATCATGTTGTGTTTGATAATACCTTATAATGGAAGAAATATAAGTTAAAATGCCTCATTTGAGAAAAGCGAACTTTCACATGTGTAAATAACTTTTATCTTTAAGGTATTGCTATTAAGGAATCAGCAAAAGTGGGTGATCAAGCTCAAAGGAGGGTGATGAAAGGTGTTGATGACCTAGACTTCTTTATTGGTGATGAAGCAATAGAAAAGCCTACATATGCAACAAAGGTATATTTTTATGATTTGTTTAAATAATATATATTTTTTAAAAAATTAGTTTGTTCAATAGCTGTGCCATCTAGAATTTTATTCAGTTATAGGCCTAATACCTTCAACCCCTTTACTGTAGAAATTTCTTCTTCCTTGGGGCTCCTCCCAGCCTTGCTTTAACTCTGGTTTTCTTCCTGAGAGGAAAATTTTTACCATTCGAATGAGCAGTATTTACTTTTCCATGCCCATTAGGTCTCTCAGCCGTCAGCGTGAGAGTGGCCTTCTCTTACTTCCATAATGCCACATCTAGAGACATGTCCCTCCCATCTTCAGACTCACACCATGTCTCTTTGGAAGCCTGTATCACCTGGACGTGCCTGTCTCTTTTCTTCTTTTTCTTTTTCCTTTTCTCATTCCTGACCCTTCCTTTTTTCCTTTTTAACTGAGTTATAATTGAGTGAAATAGGCAAGTCTTCATTTTGTAGTTTAAAAATAATTGTGACCATAATCCTAAAAGCTCAGTATATAGAGCAAATAAATCTAGTGACCCACATGTTTTCTTTGTACCTACTCCCACCCTTACGACCCCTGCCCACACCAAAAACAAACACCATTGTGACCTTTATTATCTTATTTTTAGATACTGACTTTGCCTTATTTGCACATTTTCTCCTTCATACCTCTTTTATTTCCTACTGATAATTTAATCATTAATGAACAATGAACAACGACTGTGTGTAAAAAAAAAAAAAAAAAAAAAAACAACCTAAGTGGCTTCCCTGTCTTCAAGGCTAGTATAATGTGATGGAAAGAAATGCATTGAAGAAATAATTACAGGTGTGATGAAGGTTAGAAAAAGGAAAGTACGGGATGATTTGGGAATATACATCAGGAGTAGCTAATCTGGTTTGTGGATTTAGTGAATTCTTTGAGGAATTTATCTTTTCAGCTGAACCTTGAAGAAGAAAACGAGTTTGATGAATGAATTGTGTAGGCAAGGTTGTTTTAGGCCGAGACTCTAATGTTCAGGAAGGCTTGGAAGTTTGAGGGAGCTTGGAATTGAACAACCAATGTGCCTGAAGCATAGCGAATAAGGTGGAAAGAAGTAAGGAGGCTGGATATATAGGCCAGGACAAGATGGTTGGAAGTATTGTTGGGCCAGATGTGTTAAAGGATTTGAACTTTGTCCCATGGGCAACATTAATGGGCTCCAGGAGAAGGATAATGTTAGTGACTAACAGCACAAATATTGAAGTGTCTATGCTTAGGCTGGAAATCTGGCTGTGCTACTTTCTTGCTTTGTGATATCATTCAGCAACTTAAGCTTTCTGAGTTTCAGTTTCTTGATTTATAAAATTGAGATATTTTTAGTACTTCAGGATTGTTGGAAGGTTTGAAGAGATAATGCCATATAAAGCAATTGTTAACGGGGTGCTTTGTTCATAACAAATGAGCAATATGTGTTAGCTGTTTTTATTATTTGGGAACACAGTATGATTCTGGGAAGGCCATAATGTAGCTGAGACAAGGAATATGTGACTTGGACTACATTTGAAGGCAGTGTGGATAGACAGAAACAGAAATTATGTGCATGTGTCTCTCTCACACATATTTAACTTTTATCATGGAAAACTTTCTGTGTACAAAAGTATAGAAGGGAATATAATGAACCCCCATGTACCAAATACACAGCTCAGCACTTATCAACCTTTGACCAACCTTGTTTGATCTGAATTTTCCTCCTCCCTCCCAATTATTTTAAGATGAGTCTCACACATTGTTTCACCTGCAAATATTTCTCTCTTAAAGATAAGGGCTTTTAAAAATATAAATACCACACCTAAATACCTAAATGCACTTTGTTAAGAATATCCCAAATCTAGTAAGTACTCACATTTCCCTGATTATTTCTTATGTTGGTTAATCTGTTTGAATCAAGATTTTAATCAAGGTCTGCTCCTTTGATTTGGTTGACAAGTTACTTAGATCTTGGGTTCTTTTCTGTGTGCGTGTGTGTGTGTGAGTGAGAGGGAGAGCTTTCTTTCCTTTACTCATGGAAAAATTTTAGTAATTTGTCTTGTTAAATGTCCCATTTTCTGGATTCTGATGATTACAGTCTTCTGTCATTTAACATGATCCTCTGCTTTCTTTGTTTACCTCTTTGTTATAAAGTGGTATTAAATGTAGAAGGCTGGTTAGATGTATATAAGTTCTGTGGTTTTTTTTTTTTTTTTTTTGCCAAGAATAAAAAAAGTGGATACCTAAGGAATAATAGGGAACGATTAACAAGATATTGGTGGTAAACAGTACTTGAGGGTAGTTCCCAGCTCCTGGATGGTCTTTCCTTTTATTTCTTGAGATGGAGAACATTTGAGGAGAAAATTTTTGACTGGTGTGGTTTAGGGAGGAGAGGGTAAGTTTAGTTTTGAATGTGTTGTGTTTGAGGTACCTGAGAGACATCTTAAACATTGTTAGGCAGTCAGATTCTTGGCTCTTGGAGCTCAGAAACATGATAGCTAGAGACAAATGTTTGGAAGGTATCAATTAACTTCTAGAAGGGATGAAATTACTTAGGGTAGTGTCCTTGGGAAGAGGCCCAGGATGTACCGTTTAGATTTGGATAGAAGAGGAAAAGCCTACAAAGGAGACTGAGAGGCTGTGGTTAGAGAGACTGGGCTAGATAAGAAGGAATATAAACAGCGTGAAATGCTGCCAAACTATCAAGTAAGCTAGAGCCCATATATTATTTACTGTGTTTAGCTACAAGGATGTCATTTGTAACCTTAAGAACAGTTTTAGAAGAGGAAGAATTCAGTGAGGCTGGGTTCAGGTAGGCTCGATTGTGAGTATTAGGCCAGGAGAAAATGACAGTAATATCATTGGGAGTTGGCTGTGATTGGGAGGCAAGACAGATAAATAGTTTGTGGGGCTAAGATAGAGGAGATGTTTAAATGCCAGTGTGAAAGAGTTATTAGACAAAGATTTAAGTAACGGGAAAGATATAGTCAATTCCAGGTGTCTGAGAAACCTATGGAGATGAGATTCAGAGCACAGGTGATGGAATTGATATGGGGGGGGGGGGCTCTTCAGTTCTAAAAAAGTGAAAGAGAAACAGGGTTAAGTATGGAATCAATTTTATAGATTTGGTGAAAGGAGATTGGATTCCTGACTGTTGGCTTCTGCTTTCTCTGTGATTGAAGTTCATGGTGACATCATCTCTGCTGCTCAGGGGATGGGGGAAGAATATATGAGTGATAGGGAGAACATTTAAAATTACTAGTGTGAAGAGTGAAGATGAACAGAGTAGGGAAACAAAGGCTTGCCACTCAAAGTTAGGTATAGAATTGAGAATGCAATTATGAGTACTTAGTTTTATCTACCTACTTATGTATGTGTCTTTAGTATAGTCAGCATTCTGGGTAAAGGCACATTTAGCAAAGGATTATGCTGGGTTGGGTTTTGATAGGTAGAATGACAAAAGGAAATATGAATAATCATAGTGGTGGGGCATAAACCCTAAACTGTGCGTGTGTATTTGGGGAGGTTTGATGGTTGATGGTTAGGGAATAATTACAAAAGCCAATGAACTGCAAGTCTTACTGTGATCAGCAATAGGGTGGGCTACTGGAGTATTCCAAAAGAAGAGGTTGTGATCAGAGAGGGATATAGTTGATTCCAGGAATATAGAGATCGTAGTGATACCAAGATCTAACCTGGAGCCAGAATGGAAAAGAAATCTTTGAAGGTGATGAAGTTAGTGAGCTAAGAGGCCAGAGTTTCTCTGCACTCATTCTGTTCTCTTAAACACATTTTCAAAAACTTGTTTCAGTCTTTATTCCTACTCTTTTTTTTTTTTTCAGCCTTTTAGCTGTCATTTTCCTCTTTCCTTTTAAAACCAAACTTCTTATTTAGTCTCAGATTATTTGAGTGCATATTATTTTTAAACTCTTTGTTAATCCAATAGTATATAATCTTTATCCTTCTTAGTTTGTCTATCACAGAATTGCTCTGATAATTCTCTTCCTAACATAGACTTTTCTTTTTTTTCTTACTCCCCCCTTTTGCCTCTTATTAACTATGTTATTTGCATGATTCCATTTTATTTCTTACCTGATTCCATTTTATTTGTTTGTTTTTGTTTATTTTTAAATGTTTATTTTTGAGAGAATGACAGAGTGTGAGTGGGGTGAGTGGGGGAGGGACACAGAGAGGAGGCGGCACAGAATACGGAACAGGCTCTAAGCTCTGAGCTGTCAGCACAGAGCCCAATGCAGGGCTCGAACCCATGCACTGTGAGACCATAACCTGAGCCGAAGTTGGAAGCTTAACCCACTGAGCCATCAAGGTGCCTTTATTACCTAGGGTGATCTCATGCACGTCATTCCTTACAACTACAGCCTAGATCTCTGCTTCCAATTCCTTGACCATTACATTTCCAACTACCAGGCCCTCATTTAATATACCCAAAACAAAATTTGTTATATATATATTTCCACCCTTGCTTATTCCAAGATAAGACAAAACACAACTTTTGTGTCTTGATTAATAGATCCTCTCCAACCTGACTTCAGAACTGGAAACCTGTTGATATCTTTGAGTTTGTTCTCATTCTTACTGACAGAAATCTTCAGTATGGCCTAGCATCATCCATACCACAATTGGGGCTCTTATTCTTGCTTGATTCTTTTAAGATGAATTTCAGCTTCCCCAATGCTGCTCTAATAATCTTCCTGAAAATCAAAGCTGGGCTTGTCATTGCACTGCTTAAAAATTTCTACGGATGAGCTATTTCCTGTAGAATAAAATACAGGTACATGGTAAGTAAATACAGTTTTTGAGAATCTGGTTTCCTTCATCTAGAACTGATTTATCTTTTTATACTTCCTCCCCCAACCCTTTTGGTAACCGCAGTGTGTGCATGTTATGTAGTGTATATCTTTGTATATATCTTTCCCGTTCTCTGTCTCCATGCTCTTCCTCTGCCCCCAAAACACAACATTGACAAGGTTGCTCCTTTAAGACCCAGCTTAAATACGACCTCAGTAGTAAGGGAATAGGAGGAGCCTTTCTGTTTCAGAAGCCAAGCTGGTCATCTTGTCCTAGATACTTTATTTCTTTGAGAACTTAGAATATAATATTTGTATCTGTTTTCTGTCATTAGATTGAACTTCTTTTGAGCAGGATATTCATGTCCTTAGCATATTTGCCAGTGGTTCACCTTAGGTGCACAATAATATTTGACTAGTAAATGAATAATAAACACTTAGAACATTGAAATATGTGTAAACTTTCAGTAATGTTATAAAATGAAAGTACATTAATTTCCCTTCTCTAAAGCAAACTGAGGAGTATTTTTTTTATTTCAAGTTTTAACTTAAGAAGTCATTTTATAAGTGTAATGACTAAAGAAGTACCTAAAATGCTGGAGTGAGATGTGAACATTAGAGATTAATAAATAAGAGGCTTAATGATTGAGTAAGTAACTGTCGGATGTTTACTTGTTCATTCATTAGTTCAGCCTTAGGCACTGAGTGTGTACTGTGTGCATGGAACTGTAGGTTTTTTTGTTTCCTTTCTGTTATATATATTTTTAAACTTTTTTGCCTAAACTTGTAATTTGCTTGCTTCAGAAATTCCTTATATGGTTAGAGTACTAATCTTTTGTTAGTTATATGTTGTGGAACTATTATTGCAGAGGTTCACAAACTTTCTCAGTACCCTCAAAGTCTCAGTAAGAGTTTTTACTATGCCACCTAGACAAAAAGAAATACCCAGCAGTTGTGTTTACTACATAGCCAAGCAGCTAGTAGCCATTTGAAAAGCATAAAACACTATTCAAAATGAAACTGTTTTTATTTAATTGTCAAATAATCACATGCATGTGCCTGTTAGGCACTTAACAACTTTTCATGGCCACCCTCATTTCTTATTTTACATGGTATTTTGGGGGGAGGTACTTGGTTTTTATAATAGCAACTTCTGGCAACCCAGCTTCTCAAAGAAGTGATATTATTGAAAGGAATATAGAATGATCTAATGGTGAAACTGAACTCCCTTGAACTGGTAGATATGCAGCGTCAGGCTGATTTTGAGTATCACTGCATTTCCATGGAAATTTTTATTTTTTTTTCTTAAACAGTTTATTGTCAAGTTGGTTTCCATATAACTTAACCCAGTGCTCATCCCAAGTGCCCTCCTCCATGCCCATCACCCCGTTCCCCTCTCCCCCATACCCATCAGCCCTCAGTTTGTTCTCAGCATTCAAGAGTCTCATGGTTTGCCTCCCTCCCTCTCCCCCACTATTTTTCCCCTTCTTCTTCCCCATGGTCCTCCGTTAAGTTCCTCTGAATCCTCCTATACATACAAACGTATGGTATCTGTCCTTCTCTGCCTGACTTATTTTGCTCAGCATAACACCCTCAAGTTCTATCCATGTTGCTACACATGGCCAGATTTCATTCTTTCTCATTGCCGTGTAGTATTCCATTGTATAGATAAACCACATCTTCTTGATCCATTCATCAATTGATGGAAACATAGGCTCTTTCCATGTTTTGGCTATTATTGAGAGTGCTGCTGTGAACATTAGGGTACATGTGCCCCTATGCATCAGCACTCTTATATCCCTTGAGTAAATTCCTAGCAGTGCTATTGCTGGGTCATAGGGGAGTTCTATTGTTAATTTTTTGAGGAACCTCCACACTGTTTTCCAGAGGGGCTGCATCCCTGAAAAATTTTAAATACTTTGTGGTGACATTGTGCATTTGCGGCAATACCCTGAGGCTCTGTTTTAAAGCATGGTTCTGTACAAATATATACAGCTGTTTAAATAAAATTTGACATCTTCATTTATGATTATGACGGCTTCATACTTGCCAGCTGTGTTTTATATTAGCACACAACAAATATTTGTGAAAGAGATAATAAATTATAAACTGTACTTATACTGTTCATAGACTTTAGTTTTAATGGGTTATTTTCCCATTACAAGATTTTCAGAAATCCAGAAAGACTGGTACAGTGAACTTCTATCTAGATGTAAGAGTTTTTAGCAATTGACATGTTTGCATTATTTATTTTAATTGAACCATCTGAAAATATGCTGTAGGAATAATTTCATTGATCTTTAAATAGCTAAGTATGTGTCTCCTAAGCACAATCTATAGTCTCATTAAATCACACTTAAAAACTGCTATCCTATGATTTAATATTCCGTTTTTTTGGGTAGTTGTGTTGACTTTTGATATTAATGTGATTTCATGTGTTTTGTGTTTTGTTTTAATAGTGGCCAATTCGCCATGGTATAGTTGAAGATTGGGACTTGATGGAAAGGTTTATGGAACAGGTGATCTTTAAATATTTAAGAGCAGAACCAGAAGACCATTATTTTCTTTTGGTAAGTACAAATTATAATTTCATCAGAGACAGTTTTGAAGAAACAATGAGAACATTTTCATCACATCTGTACTCAGGCATACTTTCTTGCTTATTACATTGCTATATGCCTAAGAGACTTTGTTATAAAGTTGTATTGTCTTTAAGATGATCTAATTCTGGGTTCCACTAAAGTTGTAATATGTTGAAGCACCAAGAGTTAGGTGCTTAGGAATTTCTTTTCATAATTAATATTTAATTTTTACAATAGGAACAGTAAGTAAGGTTCAAAATAAGTTAGAAATAAGACATTTTGCTTTTCTTCTTTTTCATCTTCCATCCACTCCCCTCCCCTTCCCTGCTTTATTTATTTTTGAGCGAGAGAGAAAGAGAGAGCGTGAGCAGGTGAGAGTCAGAGAAAGAGGGAGACACAGAATCTGAAGACAGGCTCCCGGCTCTGAGCTGTCAGCACAGAGCCTGACGCAGGGTTTGAACCCACAAATTATGAGATCATGACCTGGGCTGAAGTCGGACGCTCAACCGACTGAGCCACCCAGGTGCCCCTTTTTCTTTCCTTCCTTCCTTCCTTCCTTCCTTCCTTCCCTTCCTTCCTTCCTTCCTTCCTTCCTTCCTTCCTTCCTTCCTTCCTTCCTTCCTTCCTTCCTTCCTTCCTCCCTCCCTCCCTCCCTTCCTTCCTTCCTTCCTTCCTTCCTTCCTTCCTTCCTTCCTTCCTTCCTTCCCTCCTTCCTTCCTTCCTTCCTTCCTTCCTTCCTTCCTTCCTTCCTTCCTTCCTTCCTTCCTTCCTTCCTTCCTTCCTTCCCTCCTTCCTTCCTTCCTTCCTTTCGAGAGTGTGTGTGTGCACGCCAGCTGGAGAAGAGGGGCAGAGGGGGAGAGAGAGAATTTGGAGAATCTTAAGCAGGCTCGACACGGGGGCTTGATTCCACGACTTTAGAATCATGACCTGAACCGAGTTTAAGAGTTGGATGTCCAACCAAGCCACCCGCACACCCCTCACTTTGCTTTTCTTAAATAACTAGTCTGATTATTATTTTGTTAATAATTCTTGACCCCAAAAAATACAATGTAATTTACTTCTAAACTTTTTTTCTTATATTTATCAAAGCAATACATATTTATAGCTTAAAAAATCAAGTGGTATAAGATTTAAAATAAAAAGATGGTACCCTCTTTTCCCAACCTTTCCCAATGTTGGATTCATATTCTCTAGAGACAAACATTTTAAACTTTTAAGAGTTTTTTTGTGCTAGTTATCTCATAAAATTAAACATGTTTTCTGTTTCTTGTTTGTTTATTTAAATATGAGCCACTACCTACTAACTACCTAGTAGGAAAGATGAAGCTTTTATTCTTTTCCTTTTATCCTCCTTCTCTTAACACAAAGTCCCTGTCTTCTCCTCCCTACAATATAGTTAAATCATAATTTTTGGTAAATCAGTATTCTGTATTTTACTATGATAATTTTTGAATGTTGTTACGGGTAGACCATAAACACAATTGAAAGAGCTTTACAATAAACATCCACCTGTACCAACCTAGACTCAAATATTAATTTTATATAATTGCTTTATGACAGCTCTTAGGTTATCCATCATTCCATATTATTATTTATTAAAGTTTATTTATTTAGAGAGTGGGCACGTGTGTGGGTGGGGGGTGCAGAGAGAGGGAGAGAGAAAATTTCAAGAAGGCTCTGCACCATCAGCACAGAGCCCAACGTGGAACTCAGACCCACGAACTGTGAGATCATGACCTGAGCTGAAATCAAGAGTTGGATGCTTAACCGACTGAACCACCCAAGTGTCACGATCTTACATTTTTAATTACTTCATAATGAGTTGTAGATGGAGTAATTTCACACCTAAATACATTAGCATGCATATCATCGAATAGAGTTCATTATTTGTTTAGAGTTCTTTTATGTTTATAACATTTACATGCTATCAGATGTACAAATCTTAATTCTACCATTCTGTTGACCAGGCATTGGCAGACTTTTTCTGAAGGACCAGATAACAAATATTTTTAGCTTTTAGTGCCATATGGTCTCTTGCAGCTACTCAGCCCTGCTGTTGTAGCAGGAAAGCAGCCTTAGAAAATACTTAAATGAATGGGTATGGCTGTGTTCCAGTCAAATTGAATTTACAGAAAGAAGTGGGATGGAATTGTCTTACAGGGTACATGATATAGTTCACCCATCTCCTGGTTTTGACAGATGCATACATCTGTGTAACCTCAACCCTTATCAAGATATAGAACATTACTATCAGCCTGGAAAGTTTTCTGCTGCCCTTTCCTGATTAATTCCTATCCTTATGCCCTAGAGGCACCCACTGTTCTGATTTTTTCCAGTACAGATTGGTTTTGCTTATATTTGAGTTTTGTATAAATGGAATTCTACAAGATGTGCTCTTTGGTAAGACTTCATTCAGCATAGTCTTTGAGATTCATCCACATTGTTGCATATAGTCAAAATTGGTTGCTGGATCATATTCTGTTGTATGAATGTGTCTCACTATTCATTTTCTTATTGATAATTACCTGGGCTGTTTCCAGTTTTTTATTATTGTGCATAATTTGGTCATTGCAAACTTTTTAAACAAAATACGTATTTTGAGAAGGAGTATTTGCCCGTGTGAACAAGCGGTGAGGTTGTGGGGTAGGGAGAGAGAGAGAATGAATCCCAAGCATGATTCCTACTCAGCACAGAGCCAGACATGGGTTCATGACCAGAGCTGAAATCAAGAGTCAGAAGCTCAACCTACTGAACCCACCCAGCTGTCTCTGCGAACATTCTTGTACAAGTCTTTTTGTGGACATATTTTCATTTGTCTTGTGTAAATATCTGGATACGGAATTGCTGTGTCATAGGTTAGGTGCATGATTGATTTTATAGGAAACTTGTAGAACTTTTTTCCAAGGGGTTGTACCTTTTTGCACACCCACCAGCAATGTGTTAGCAATCTGGTTGTTCTACATTCTGTCCAACATTTGGTTTGTCAGTCTTTTTAATTTTAGCCTTTCTGGTGGGTGTGTAAGATTTCTCATTTTGGTTTTAATTTGCATTTTCCTGATGACTAATGATCTTGAGTACTTTTTCCTGTGCTTATTAGCTATTTGTATATTTTCCTTGGGAGATCTGATTATATTTTATTTTATATAGAACTTCAGTTTTCCTTGGAGTTTATAATTTAACTGCCTTGTTTTTTTTAGTGTGCTTAATTTTCTATGTATGTATCCCTGAATTATCTCCAAACCCTTGAACATAGTTATAAAACTCTTAAATAAGTTTAAACACATCAAGTAGTTTAGCTATTAAAGGGTTTACATATGTGAAAAGTCTACTCCTAGTTTACCTTTTTCTTTAAAAAACTTTATAGTTTTTTTTAAACTAACAAAAAATTTAATTTGCTGTGAATTCACTTTGTCTTTGTAATTTGTGCTCTTGACATTTAAGGAATCATTCTTACCTCATGGTCAAAAAGATAATTCTTCTGAAGTTTAAAAGTTTTACCTTTTAGTTTAAATATTTGAGATAACAAAAAGGACTGTCAAATCAGATTCGTAAGAATTAGAGGTTTTGCCTAGTTTCAAGCTTAAGCATAGATGAAGCATGAAGTCCAGGATTGCAGTATGGTTTCCTCAGTCCACTCTTCCCTCAGGATGTGTTCTGGCTCAGACTTTTTTTTTTAATGTTTTATTTATTTCTAGGAGAGAGAGAGAGAGAGAGAGAGAGACAGCGTGAGCAGGGGAGGGTCAGAGAGAGAGGGAGTCACAGACAAACAGGCTCCAGGCTCTGAGCTGACAGCACAGAGCCCGACGCGGGGCTCGAACCCACAAACCGCGAGATCATAACCTAAGCGAAAGTCGGACGCTTAACCGACTAAGCCACCCAGGCGCCCCTGTTCTGGCTCAGACGTAATTTGCAGGTTTCTAAATGATGTATGCAGTCACATAAATGGAAGAGAATGGTGTAAACATCTCCAGGTTTAAAAAAAAAATTTTTTTTAACATATAATTATTTTTGAGAGACAAAGCACAACGGGGCAGGAGCAGAGAGAGGGAGACACAGAATCCAAAACAAGTTCCAGGGTCTGAGCTGTCAGTACTGAGCCCAGTGCTAAACTCACAAATCGTGAGATCAGGACCTGAGCTGAAGTTGGACACTTACTTGACTGAGCCACCCAGGCACCCATACACATCTCCATTTTACTACTTATAACAGTTATAGGACTTATGTAACATTTTCCAAGAAGCCATGCCATAAATTTGTAGAATCTTGACTTACTTACTCTAGTAATAAGTACACCAGGTACATCCTGCTGAAAACTACATGGATGAGAATTCTTCCACCAGCAAATATGATTGATATATTTCCCTGGGGGTCTGTCGTTACCTTTTTACAAGATGATTTGGCTTGGTCTCCTTTCTCTTAATGGTGTGACATAGGAAGTCAGTTTCTTTTCTTGTGTGAAGATCTATATTGTTTTCATATATGCGTAGATCTGTTTGAATTCTTTATATCATTTTTCTTTGGTCTATATGTCTATCTTTGTACCTGGAAGTTTAAAAGTTTAATTAAAAGACTTAAAGTGACATAAATTATTTATTTAAAAATTGTCTATAAAGTTTTCGAAATAATCTGATCTTGTCTATTTAAAATGTTATTCAATTTAATAGACTGAACCTCCACTGAATACTCCAGAAAACAGGGAATATACTGCTGAAATAATGTTTGAGTCCTTCAATGTTCCAGGCTTGTACATTGCTGTGCAGGTAAGCAAGTTCATAAGTCAACATAAGCTTGATTTTCTTAAATTTTAATCTAAGTTAAATCATTCTTAAAAAAATACATTTTTTTCATAACCTTGAAGCTTACCATAGTTCTTTCCTGAATCAATAATTTAGAAGTCATAGAAAATAGTTATTCAACAAAAGAGAAGTGTTGAAGGAAGTAAGTTAATGATCTTTAGAAAATTCAAAGCTTTCATGGGACAGAAATAAGGGAACTAATATTTATTGAGTGTTTGCTCCAGGTCAGGAACTTTATATACATATTCAATTATCCTTGAAATGTTTATTATATCCTTTTTTTCATAGTCTGATTTGATTGACTTACTGCTAGGTATGTTGGACCACCTTCTCCTTTTTGCCCCTCTGCTTTCCATGTATCATAAATCCCTGTAGTATTTTATTTAATTTACTTGGAAGTGTATCTTCATGGAATAACTTCTCTCCTACTCTTCAGAATCATAGCTCACCTCTTACTTGTTTTTCAGCCCTGTAGTGAATGTGATACCTAGTATATCATACTAAAATACTAAGTGTATAAACTATTATATAGTTCTCTTAGGTCACAGAGATTATGGTGTGTGATCCTGTGCTAAAATGGGAGGATGGCCTAGATAACTTTCTAGGTCCCTTTCAGCTGTTATATTGTAAGTAGGTAAAATAAAGCCAGTTTAGCTCTGTTTTTAATTATTCGCTGTATATCTTGTTTGAGGCTTGTACTGTATGAAATTTAGTTTTAAAAAATGAACTAGCTATGTTAATTTCTTAATTGTAAACTTTTAAAAAGAGAGTTGTATCTTGCTTTCCATGCCAGTATTTTGCATTGAAAAATGCAATCCTTCAACGTTGTTTCCTGATTAAATCGTAATATTTAGAAGAGTATAATGGCTTTTTCTGTGGTTAAATAACTTGTTACATGTTTCTAAATGCATGTAGCACTTAGAAAATTTGGAGCTAATCTTACGATAGAGGTACTTGTTTATAGCCATCTGTGTATGGAATAACTGGTGATTTGTGGTTTGTGTATAGGCTAGCCCATAGGAACATAGTTTAAGTCCTGTCACTCTTAGTACTGGTATATTTCATTCCCCATTTTGTGGGGTTTAGGAGAAAAATGGCCCTTGTTAAAACATGGAACATTTATGAATATGCCCCTGAAAGTGAATACAAGCCTGTAAGTTAGTCTTAAAATGTAGGATGTGAGTAATTTTGTTGCATAATGTAAATTAATTTTGTGTATTTTCTTTCCAAAGATACTATATTTGACCATTGAGTAATATGGGTTTGAACTGTGTGGGTCCACTAATATGTGGATTTTTTTTTTTTAAGTCCAGTGGAGTACTATAAATGTGTTTTCTCTTCCTTACAATTTTCTTAACATTTTCTTTTCTCTAGCTTACTTTATTATGAGAATACAGTTTATAATATAACATAAAAAATCTGTGTTAACCAACTGTTAGGTATTGGTAAGGCTTTTAGTCAAGAGTAGGCTATTAGTTCAGTTTTGGGGGAATTAGAAGTTATACTTGAATTTTCAACTGCTTGTCTTGGGGAGGTGGGTCAGTGTCCCTAAACCTGGTGTTGTTCAAGAGTCACTTGTACATTTAAAATTGAAGTACTCCATTGAAATAGTTTTTTCTATTAACTTTTTGCCCTTGTTTCTTTCTTTTTTTTTTTTTTGTGCCTGTCATATTTGTGTGTGTGTGTGTGTGTGTATGTATGTGTGTGTCTAAGGCTGTTCTTGCCTTAGCTGCATCTTGGACCTCGAGACAAGTAGGAGAACGGACACTGACCGGTACAGTAATAGACAGTGGAGATGGTGTCACTCATGTTATTCCTGTGGTAAGAATATTTTACAGTTACCAAATAGGACATCAAATAACACATCTGGCATAAATATATTATATGAATTAATACCACTTTTAGAAAATTTTAAATGTTACACTTTAAAAAATTTGGTCACTTGTTCAGCTTTAGCTGTATTTTCCTCAAAGTAATATAAAATTCTATAAACAAATTCTAAAATCTTTCTTTTGCTGTAGGTTTGTACTGTAATGAGAAAATGATTTTAAAGATATTAGAATTTATTTCTAATTCATAATTAGAAAATGTTGGAGTAACTGAAATGGAAATATATTATGCCTTTCTTTTCTTAAAAATGAAATTCTGTTTTCTGGTTTGGATATGTCTGTGTGTGTATGTTAGCCACTTGGCAGTCTCTCTTATCCTTAATTAACGGATTTCAGTTGGGGGTGTAGGTTAACTAGATAGTTTATAATAAAGCTTATGGCTGCTAATAATTTTGGGAAATTATTTACTTGTTTTTTACAATTAAACTCTTCGCCCAGTGTGGGCCTTGAACACATGACCCTGAGAGCAGGAGGAGTCACATGCTCTACTGACTGAGCCAGCTAGGTGCCCTGGAAAATTTTTTTTTGAATAAAAAGTTCAAGTTATTGTACTTTATGGTTTGGATTTTCTGCCAAGACCTTTCTTCTTCCAATTCTTAATGACAAATTAGGGTTTTTATTGTGTCTAATACATTGAAAATGACTATTTGAATTCATACTTGATAATATTAGATGGATATACATAGAAAGGTTTAGTTTTTCAAATAATGTTTATAGTGTATTAAATGTCCTGTAAGGGATGAAATTTTTTTGAACTTTTATTTCTTCATTATTCTCATTCCTATTTTTAATGGATCAGGCGACCTCTGTTGAGGATTACATCATCAGGGTGACTTAGGTTAGATGTCATAATCCACTCTCCAATGTCATAATAGTTAAGTAATAATTGTCCCTTTTTTAGTAACAGGTTTCTTGAGATATAATTTATACACCATTCAGTTCATCCATTTAGAATGTATAGTTCAGTGGGTTTCTGTATATTCACAAAGTGCATCCATCACTGCAGTCAATTTTAGAACATCTTTATGACTCTAAAAAGAAACCCACTGTCCATTAGCAGTTACTCCCTCCCTGATAACCTTAGCCACTGGCAACCACTCACATACTTTCTGTCTCAGTAGATTTGCCTGTTCTGGACATTTCAGATAAATGGAGTCATAAACTTTGTGGTCTTTTGTGACTGGCTTCTTTCATGAAGCATTAAGTTTTCAAGATTCATCCAAGTTGTAGCACGTATAGTACTTCCTTTATTATTATTGCTAAATAATATTTCATTACATGGCTGTGCCATGCAATATTTCACTGTATGGCTATCCCACATTTTATTTTGCCATTGGGGATATTTTAATATCTTGGAAATTGTTATGTGTCCAGCATTTCATTTTTTTATAGTTCAGTTGTCATCACAGTTTTCTTTCTTAGTGGTACATCAACCTTCTTAAGATTTTCATTTCAGATTCTCATTTGAACCTCAAAATCTGTAATGTAGGTTATATTATCTGTTAGGACCTCAGTTTACCTATTAAAATTGAAAATAAATGAATTGCTTGAGATCACCAAATAGTAGATCATGGAGCTAGTAGTTGAATTTGTTCTGGCTGACCCAAGTCCGAACATCTGTACAATTAATCAGTGATATCAGTATCTTGATAATTAACATTCAAATAGGTAATTTTCAAATAGAAGTTATGAACATGAGTAAGAGTGAATTTTTGTAAGGATATTAAGAATTGGATGTTTCTGTTTTTGTACTCTTCCTCCTTTTCTTTCTTTTGAATTATTGGAGTATTTTTTTATATTCTGTTTTCTGTACTGACTTTTTAGCTATGTTCTACTTCTTTGTTACTGTCATTTGCTTGTTTTTTGTTGTTGTGGTTCCTCTTGAGATCATAATAAACATCTTTAATTTATAATTGAAGTACAGATAATGTTCTAATGTTTCATAAGTAGGTACTGTACTTGTACTTCCCTTTGGAACTATAATTGTCACTCATTTTACTTCTACATGTTAAAAACTTACACTGTGTTATGACTTTGTTTCATTGTAGATAATATATTAGTTTTGTTATGGCTGCTGTAACAAGGTACGGCTAGGAAGTAGCAGAGCTGGTATTCAGTCCCAAATTGGTTAGGCTCCAAAGGCACACCAAAGTCCTCCCAAGGACAGGAGAGGTTTTTTAGCTGCAACAGAAACCATTGGATGGTGTTAGGAGAACATTGAGATTGTGAGTATTTGTGCAAGGACAGGGAAGGGTGCTTCTGTACCACAGACTGAATGCCTCAAACAGTAGAAAGTTAATTTTTTCACAGATGGAGGTAATAAAGTCTCACATCAAGTTGTTGGCAGAGTTCATTTCTTCTGAGGCTTCTCGCTGTGTCTTCTATCATAATGGCCTAATTTTCTCCATTTATCTGTACATGGTCTTCCCTCTGTCTCTGTGTCCTAATCTCTTAAGAACGTAAGAATATTAGATTAGGGCCAACTCTTATCATCTCATTTTAACATAATTACCTCTTTACAGTCCCTGTCTCCAAATACAATCACATTGTGAGGTATTAGATGTTAGCACTTCAACACAAGAATTTTGGGAGAGGTGGGACATGTCAGCCCATAACAAATCATCATTTCTAAAAAGATAGGTTTCTTTTTATATTTATGCACTTATCATTTCCAGTGTTTGTTTCCTTTGTGAAGGTGCAGATTTCTGTCTAGTCTAATTTTCCACCAGAATGATAGCAATGGCCTTTAGCTTTTCTTTTTTTTTTTTAATGTTTTTATTTATTTCTGAGAAAGAGAAACACCGTGAACAGGGGAGGGTCAGAGAGAGAGGGAGACACAGAATCCGAAACAGGCTCCAGGCTCTGAGCTAGTCGTCAGCACAGAGCCCGACACAGGGCTCGAACCCACAACCTGTGAGATCATGACCTGAGCCGAGGTCGGATGCCTAACTGACTGACCCACCCAGGCTCAGTCTTTAGCTTTTCTTAAAGTGCCAGTCTTCTGACTATAAACTCTTCCAACTTATGTACATCCTTTGAAAAAACATTTTGTCTTCATTTCTGAAAGATATTACTTAGTATAAAATTTGAGGTTGATAGGTTTTTACTTTCAGTAATTTAAAGATGTAGTTCTACTGTCTTTTGGCTTGTTTCTGAAAATAAGTCTGGTGTTATTCCTAAGCTCGTTTCTCTAATGTTTATTTGTCTGTCTGCCTTCAAGATTTTCTCAAAATATATTCCTGGTCTACTAGTTTTTAGCAGTTTGTGATGTACCTTAATGTATTTTATTTTAATTTTTTCTATTTCTTCTCCTTGAGATTTTTTGAGAGAGAGGGCAAGAGAGCCTAAAGGGCAGAGAGAGAGAGTCCCAGGCAGGCTCAGTGCCGTGGGCGCAGAGACTGATGTGGGGCTTGAACTCATGAGTTAAATGGTTCATTCTTGTCCTCATGTTGACTTCTTTTTATTATTAGAACAATTAATTTATCTAATCACACTTAGCATATATATTTTTAAATGTTCTTCTTTTTTTGTTTAATGTTTATTTATTTTTGAGAGAGAGAGAGAGAGAGAAAGAGAGAGGAAGAGAGAAAGTAACTGAAGCAGGCTCCAGGCTCTGAGCTGTTAGCAAAGAGCCTGACGTGGTGCTCATGCTCATTAACCATGAGATCATGACTTGAACTAAAGTTGTATGCTCAACCAACTAAGCCCCTAGAATAGTTTTTATTTCAGATACTTTATTTTTCTCCATAGAAGTTCTCTTTGGGTCTTTTTTTATCTTCCCTTTCTGACTCATGTTTCCATTGATCTTGTTCACGTGGAATATATAGTAGTTGTTTCAGTGTCTTTGACTATCAATGATATTTTCTTTGATATTTCTATTGCTTTCTCTTTTGATTTTTCTTCCAGTCATGGGGTGTATTTTCCTGTTTCCTTGCTTGATAATAATTTTTCATTAGGTACTATATATTCACATTGTTGTGTCCTGGCTTTTAAAAATATTTTTAGATTTTTTTCGTGGAACACAGTTAAGTTCCTAGGAATCATTTTGAACCTTTTAGGATCTCCTTTTAAGTGTTAATTGACCAAATCTAGAATAGTCTTTGGTCTGGCTCTACACTATCCCCAACCTTGAAGAAGTACCCTTCTAAGGACTCTACTCAATGCCCAATGTTTGAGATCCTTAAACTGTGATTAATGGGAAGGTCGACTATTCCCAGCTACGCATAAACTTTGGGGATTATTTTTTCCCCTCCTTTCTAGAGGTTCTTATTCTGGTCTTGATGGTTTCCTAATATGAATGTTTAGTGGTCAGCTAACATGTTACCTTTCACATCTCCAGAGTTCTGTCAGTGCAGCGTCTTCCACTTTGGTAGTTAGACTTGCAAACTGTAGCCATTGTGACCTCCCTGAAATCGAAATTCTGTATCCTCAACTTAATGAGAATCCCTGGCTGTGCTTGGGCTCTCCCTCCTGTTATTGCTGCCTGGGAACTCTTTGAGGCGGTGAGATTGGATGTACATAGCACTCATCTTGTTTGTTTTCTCTTATCATGGGGAACACTGCCCTACTCTGCCTGTTGTTCACTGTGTGAAAACCTTTATTTCATATAATTTATCCTGTTTTTTCTTTAAGGTAAGAGGATAAATCCAATCGCTTAATACTCTGTCATGGCCAGATGAGGACATCCCTAATATTCTTTGTTAATGAAATATAATTTTGCTACATTAATTTTTGTACCTCTGAAAATATCAGAAAATTTGGATTCATCATATAGAATTTAATTTTTTGGCATTATGATGATGCATAGAATGCCTCAGACTTGTGAAACTAGTACCTACTTCAGTAGGAAAAAAGATAGTTTGTAGACTACAAATTTCCTAAACTGTTGTCTAAACGGTTTACTGAAATTATAAAGGGTTTTAAAATAATTTAAAAGAATTTTAAATTATAAATTTCTATCTGGTCTAATATCAAAACATTTAATACTTCTGAAATTCCTTGTTTGTGCTGTTCAGTCATTTCAGTCTTGCTTATAAAACTGTTAGCAGTAAAAGAATAGATCTGAGTTGCTGGCCATTCTTGTTCATAATATCTGTATAGTACTGCAAATTATGTAGTATATAGTATTGTGAGGAATACACCTGAGGAGTAAAGACTAGAAGAATTCTGTGATAAAACAATACTCGAGAATATAACTACACTAACTTGAGAAATTAGTCTTTAATGGTTATTTATGTTAACCTTGAAACCAATGAAAGTAAATTTGACACTTTTTTTTTCATCTAGGCTGAAGGGTATGTGATTGGCAGCTGTATTAAGCACATTCCAATTGCAGGACGAGATATAACATATTTTATTCAGCAGTTACTGAGAGACCGAGAAGTAGGAATCCCTCCAGAACAATCCTTGGAAACTGCTAAGGCAGTAAAGGTACAAAGTAATGATTAGAAATTAAAATCAAATTTACACTGTTAACATGAGAAACTGTTAGGTAAAGAACAGTACTTTAAAAACCTTTTGTAAGTCATTATTCTTAATTATGTGTATGTTTTCTCTGTATTTCTTGTAAAGAACTTGTGAGGAATTATCAGTCTTATGCCTGTTGTCTCCACATTTCACATTTGAGTCAAGAACATTTATATACATTTCTCTGATTATTCCCCATTGTAAAAATAATTAGTTCCCTTCAGAGTTCTCATGTCTCAATTTCTTCACTGAATTCTTTATTTTAATTTTCACAGTTTTCTGTTGCAAAGTTGTTTTTTTTTTTTATGTAATTGTTTCATTTGTGTATAGAATACAGGTGATGTTTGGCTCCAGTGATATGGCAAATAGAAGAATGTGAAGGCTATTTAAGGTGTTTTAATAATTTACATGTTACATAAGTCTATCAGTGCTTTATATAAACCACCAAAATATTTAGCCTTGCTTTTTAAATTTCTCATTTGCCAGTGTACCTAAACAAATTTCCGTGGGTTTTTCCTGTATTTTCAGTACGTGAAGCAAAACTGCCCCAGTGGAAATAACTATTTATTTGCCTATCTTTGCATGATTATAGGGTTTCTTTCACTCGTCAAAGCTTAGGAATGAAAATGAATTTACTGTTTCCTAGTAGTAAAGGAGTTCCTGAAAGGCTAACAAAACTCACCTCAATGGTAGTATCAAAATGAAATATGTAAAAAATTAGTAAGAACATTACTGCTCTAACATCTTTGGGAAGTCTTTGGAATTTAAAGAAATGACAAGAGCACTAAGGATTTAAATCTAGAGAATACTGATGCTCAGTCTGAATTTCTTTTAAAACTTATTATTTTCATGTAATTCCTACTTCCAAGTTTGGAGAAACAAGACCTATGGTAACATAATCAAAGTGTCCTTTGTTTTCCAGTACTTTTTCCTTTTATGTCTTTTGATCATTAGTAATCTTTTTAGCTGTTGTGGGCTAGAATTCTGGATGTGCAAAAATATGTGAAATGGGTGTGTGTGTTTTTTGAGAGAGAGAGAGAGAGAAGCAGAGAGACAGAGGGAGACAGAGACTCCCAAGCAGGTTCCGTGTTGTCAGCACAGCCTGACGTGGGGCTCAGGCTCAGGATCTATGAGATCATGACCTGAGCTAAAATCAAGAGTGGAATACTTAACTGACTGAGCCACCCAGGCACCCCTGTGTGTTTTTCTTAAAAAGGAAAAAAGAAAAATGAGATATGGATTCAGGAGCCCTGAGTTGCAAATGGAATGTTATAACCATAACATTTTTGAATTGCATTTTTGCTAAAAACTTTTACCTAGAACATATAATCAGATATGCAACAATTTAGCATTGCAGGTGATATAGTAGAAAAGAATAATTTATATTTTCAGTCGTTTTCCTTTTGCTCATTTACTTAGACCACATTCAGTTTTGTTCCAGATAGGTATTAAGGATTAAGTATCTATATTAATTGGTGTGGTTATTTCAACTATTATTTACTCTCTGGTTCTTATGTATTTTATGCTTTCTTCTCTCTAGAATGCAAACTTCGTTAATTACTGAAATAGTGTAAAATGTTGAATGAAATTAATGAATGTTTTCATGAAATAACATTGAGGTAGTAGAGATTGTCTCTTTAGTTGGTCAAATCTTGTTCAGTTTATATATTAAGCCAGGAATTATATGTAGGAGATGAGATGAGCTTTTTACTTGTACAAGGCATAATACTGTAACGTAAAATTTTCTTCAGCTGAATTTCTTTATTTTCTGAAGGTATTTGTTCATTTGATTCTTATTTACTGAAAATATGCCAGCTTATTTTACTGTTAACTAAAATGAGGAAATAATTACTCAGTTCTTTGTTTTTCTAGGAGCGCTATAGTTATGTCTGCCCAGATTTAGTAAAAGAATTTAACAAGTATGACACAGATGGATCAAAGTGGATTAAGCAATATACTGGAATCAATGCTATCTCAAAGAAAGAATTTTCTATTGATGTTGGTTATGAGAGATTCTTGGGACCTGAAATCTTTTTTCACCCAGAGGTAAGTTTCTTGTTTGTTTGTTTTTGTTAGATGGAATTGTTTCAAAATATTTGGCAGAAATTATCAGTCAACTATAGGATATTCAGGAAAGTTAATCTCAGGAACTTTCTTTTGTATACTAAAATGCTATAGGGAATTAATCATTTTCAAGAGGAAAAATCACCCATGTTGAAAGAGGCTAAGCAAGTAACTGTTTTTCACACATTTAGAAAACTGAAACTTGCCTTTTTAATATTTGTGGTTTATGTGGGGTCATGCAAAGAGGGGAGCCATTAAAATTTACGGCCTTTTAAATAAAATATTTTGGGATACGTTCTAGAAGTACCCCTGTCTAATGACCATTAGACAAAGAACCTTTAGTTAATTATTGTAACAGAATATTATTAGCAAAATAGTTTTCTATCTCTATGAAATATTAGTAACATACAAGTATTCTTAGTATATATTTTAATAATGAAAAATTCTTCTAGTAACTGAGTATGAGAAACTTAAAAAAATTTTTTTTAATGTTTATTTTTGAGAGAGAGAGAGAGAGAGAGCATGAGCAGGAGGAGGGTAGAGAGACAGAGGAAGACTCAGAATCTGAAGCAGGTTCTAGGCTCTGAGCTGTCATGTCAGCACAGAGCCCGTTGTGGGGCTTGAACTCATGAACCGTGAGATCATTACCTGAGCTGAAGTGGGATGCTTAACTAACTGAGCCACCCAGACGCCTCTGTAAGAAATTTATTGATAGAATTCCATTAAATGCTTTTTGTGCTTACTGTACATTAAAAACCGTTTTCTTAAAAAATTGTTTATTCTCTTAGCAAATGAATATAAATTTCATGGTCTCAGTGTAAGTATTAAAAGATGAAAAATTATTTTATCTTTTACTGAGCGCAGAATAAGGAGATGAATAAACAGATAAATTTATCTTAATAAATGCATGGATCTGGATAGGGCATAGGAGCAAAGAACATCTAAGTCTGCTTGGGAGAACTATGGAAACTTCTTAGAGGAGGTAGCAGTTGACCTGACACTTCGAGGATGAATAGGTATTTGTCAGGCAGATATGTTAGGGGAATATTTTTCTGGCACAGGAGATAGACTGGATAGAAGTCTGGGAGAAGAGAGCTAGATAGTAGAAGTATAAAGGAAGGGAGTGTTAGGAGATGGGTCCAGAAAGGTATTCATGAGAGACTAATAGGTACAAAAAGGAGTTTATTGGATTTTGGAATTGTACAGAAGTCTTCAGTGCAAATGACACAAATATATGAACGGTAATAGAAAGGTCACTCTGGCTGCACTGGGTTAGATGAACAGAGGTGTGAATTGTGTTGGAAACAGGTGAGTTTATTGGAGTTTCCCAGATGGAGGAGGAACTGGTAAGAACTCATTTGCAAGAATAAGGCTGAGGTTAGTTTTGTCTTTAAGAGGGGTTACTCCAGAGGTAAAGGTAAAGAGTTATGCATGGGTACAGGAAAATGTGGAGCTGGGAAGGGTAGGTAGAGGAGCAGGTAGGTAGCTGAGGAAGTTCATGGTCACAGAGCATAATTTTATTTTTCATGAAGGGGAATCAAGCTTCTGTGTTGGAAGAAGGGAATGGACATACAGTTGAGGGCTGGGAGAGAACAGTAACTTGTATAATCATTAGTGAGGAGAATTGAGAGGGTGACTCAATTCATAGTATTGGGGGCACTACAGAAGCTAGAAACTCAGAACTTTGAGTCATACAACAGTGTTTTCCATCCCAGGCAGTTGTGGGAAAGGAACAAAGGGTTTTGACAAGGTATGGGTCAAAGCTTTGCAGGGTGTAAGAGCCTGGATCTGAAAGGCCTGAATAACGTAGGGGTAATGAGGGATGTGGACAGGGATTGGAGATTGTGATGAATTGCAGATAGCTGTAAATTGGGAGCAAAAGGGGAGAGCTCCTGAAGGATAAGGCATTATGGTCAGTAGTATGTGGGTGTTTTAAGGTTTTAGATGGCAAATTTTCCAGTTTTTAAAATAAAAATTAACAAAAAGATATATGCATATAGTTTTAAAAGTTCGGTAACACTGACAGGCTTACAGCAAACACAGTAGCTCCTCATCCCCCGCCCTTCCTCTCTTACCCTTTTTGTGCTCTGCAGAGCATCCCAGAGCTCTTACGGAGCCCTTGCTCTTGGTAATTACCTCTAGATTTTCAAATACTTATCTGACTGTTGTTAGACATAGCAATGTGAATAATTTATCTACTAACTTCCTTTTAGGTTGGTTGATATTTTTCTTAGACCCTCTTCCTTCAGCCTGTTTGTTATGTTCTAGTTATTGGCTTAATCAGTAGTTTTACAGTATTTATGGTATTCTGCCTGTTAACATTTTTTGCTTTTCAGGTACTATTGTAATTGATTATTTTTTTCTTTTAAAATTGAGCTTTTCCTTAATTTTTGCCTCATTTCTTCATTTGTGTTATTTTCTGTTTGTTCATTTTTTCATTTATTCATTGAAGTTGTAATTAACTGTCTGGTTATATAAGATCTGGAAGGGATCCTGGAGGAAGGGGTCTCAGTCTTTCTATATAGAGAATGTTAATATTTTTAAAACCTTTTTTTACCTTTCCTTGTGTGATTTCTTATACCTTAAATTTGGGGGCCTTCTGAAGGTTCTACAGGATGAAGTAGTTAGCTTCTTACCAATATGCCCCTCTGGAAGCACTTAGCAAAAAAATTTTTTTAAATATTTATTTAATTTTATTTTTGAGAGACAAAGACAGAGCATGAGAGGGGGAGGAGAAGAGAGAGAGAGGGAGACACAGAATCTGAAGCAGGTTCCAGGCTCTGAGCTATCCGTCAGCACAGAGCCCGATGTAGGACTCGAACCCATGAACAATGAGCTCATGACCTGAGCTGAAGTCAGATGCTTAACCAACTGAGCCACCCAGGCACCCCCATTTTTTTTTTTGTTTTGTTTTGGTTAAAAAAATTTTTTCATATTTATTTATTTTGGAGAGACAAAGCATGAGAGGGAAAGGGGGCAGAGAGAGAGGGAGACAAAGAATCTGAAGCATGGAAACACTTAGGATGTAACATTCCTTTTTTGTCTTCCAAACAGGATTGAAATACTCTATACATTTTTACTTACCTCCTCTTTTCATCCTTGGGGATTTATCTTTCCTGGTAATTTCTTTCTTTTATTTTAGTAGTGATTCAAGAAGATGGAGAGAAAGGTAACCATGTAGCTGGAAGTCAGGTCAGATTTTCCTCTGGGGCCATGTATATATGAGTTGCTGAAGTAGTAATGGATTAAGGATCACTTGGGTTAAGGAACATCAACTGAAGTTGGAACATCAACTGAAGTTGAAATACTGGAGAGAAAAACTAAACCTGCAAGTTGAGGACAGGAATTACCATGGGATAGATAATGGCATAGGATATAAGAGATATCTTAGATTTTAAAGGAGGAAGTAGTTGAGCGGAATGCTCTTTATAGACCTCTTCAGCTAATGTCTTGACGGTCTCAAAAACCTTGAGACATTAGATATGTAAATCAACTCTGATGTTTTGATTGTGTCATGCTGCTTAGGAAAGGGATAGTTGTCTGGATTTCAGTTTCTAATATTTCATATATAATTTTTCAATTTATATAATTTTTTTCATTAATTTAGGAAATATTTATTGTTTGATATACCAAGTTTTCTTCATTAAAATTTTTTAAAACTTTGTACCATCTTTTTTTGATAGACAGAGACAGAGCACGAGTAGGGGTGGGGCAGAGAGAGAAGGACACACAGGATCTGAAGCAGGCTCCAGGCTCTGAGCAAGCATTCAGCACAGAGCCCAACGCACGATCATGACCTGAGCTGACATCATACACTCAACTGACTGAGCCACCCAGGCGCCCCACAACTTTGTACCATCTTTTACTCTCCATAGCATTTTTTTCTTTGAAAATAATTTCTTCTGTGAGAAATCTGTGTTTTTCTTCTTTTTCAGAGTTGTTTTATAAGGATCATTTATGTATATATGCACATTGTTTCAAAGCCCTACTTATTTAAATTCTGACAAAACCTATGAGTGCCCTCTATGCTCCCCCGTATACGCCTCTCCCTATTTTTTTCCCTACGAGGTGAGCACTTCAACCTTTTTTACTTGTTTCTTTTGGTGCTTGCTGCCGAATTGCTTTGGTTACTTCACAACTTCAAATTTTTTGTTTTAGGCATTTTCCACCGATTTCCAGCTATGGTAGATGAGGACTGTCTTCCCTCCCCTTCTTTTGTTCCCAGAACAAACAGTACCTTTTCATACCTTTTTGTCATAATATATACATTATAATTTGAGTTAAGTAAAAATTCAGTGCTTACATTTTTGTCAGTACAAATTTCAGTCAGATCTGAGTCATGCAGTTTATCATGAGATATTTTCCTGTCCTATTTTATATTTTGTTTTCCATGGAAAATAGTAAGTTGTTTGCTTAGTTTTAAAAAAATGATCCTTAATTCACCTCTGAACTCTATCCACTGGTTTTATAACTGCCTTCTCAGGGTATTCAGATGAAGAGGTTTTTATCATCAATTTAGTTTTCCAGAGCCTCTTTCCATCCCAGTCTGAAACTGTTTCCTTTCGTACCTGCTATAGAGTTGTCCTGTTCTGTCACCATCATTGTGGGGATTCCTGTTGCCTCTCACTTAAGTCTTCTCTCTTCTGTCTCATATCTTTTTTGTCTTTATTTTGGTGGCTATCGTTTGCCAGTGGGGTTCCTGATGAAAAGGATACTTGAGGGCTGAAAATTTGAAGACCTTGCATGTCTGAAAATGTATTCATTTTATCTTCACACCTGTCTGATAATTTGAGTATAGAATCCTGGATTGTAAATCATTTTTCTTCCGCATTCTGAAGCCTTTGCTTAGTTGCTTCCCATTATTATTTGAAGTCAAAAACTGTTCTGATTTTAAACCTTGTGTAGGACCTGCTTATTTTCTTTCCAGATACTTGTAGATTGTCCTTTGTTCCCCTGGCATTCTGATGTGCTCTCTGTTTTCTAGTTGCACTTTATCTTTTTGTTTATTCTCTAGGTGTTTTTCAGTTTTACCTTCTGAAACTTCTGTTGAATTTATTTCTGGTAACATATGTAATTTTCAAGGGCTTCCCCTACTTCTGCTTTTGAATATTCCTTTTTTTATGCTGCTCTCTTCTTATTTCATGGATGTATATCTTCTGGCTCTCTGAGGATATTAATCTAGGGCTTTTGAAGTTTTCTTCTTTCTGCATTCCCTCTTTCCTCCAGATTACCTTTCTCTTTGTTTTGATTCCTGTGTTTTTCATGCTAGAGATTTTTGGAGAGTCACTCCGTTTAAGTAGGGGACACTAAAAACCTTATTGGAAATCGGAGCTTTGTGGGTAGGGCCTGTTGGTCTTTCTTTGGAGAAAGCCCTAGTGTGTTCTATTAGATCACATCAGGTAATCTGATTCCAAGACGATTGCTACCTGGAGATTAAAGGTTGGCAGCCAGATGGGCAAGAGGATCAGCATTTGTTTGTCAGCAGTAGGCTGCATACCTTCACTTAAAGCCCCCATTTTTCATTCCTTTTAGCTTGTGTAAGAGTTCCAGGGCTAATCAGTTCTCTTTAGAAAATAGATAAGCCAGCTTGCTCCTTGGATGAGGAGGAGGTGTTTGATAGGCTTTTTTGTTTGGGATCTAGGACTCTAATTGTTCTTCACAGACATTTTCAACCAGTGTTCCTCCCTGCCCTTCCTCTACCTCCATTTCAGTGCTGACAGGTACAGCCAGTTGGGGTGGGGTGAGGGGGGTAGGGATGAGGGCTGGTGATACAAAACAGCCTTATTCTTGGCTTTCCCTACTGATGACTTACTCAGTGTTTCGGAGGGAGTGCCTGGTCTTGTCCATCTGCTTTCCAGATTCCAGTTTGCCAAATTTTGTTGCCGTTTCTTCTTGTTCTCTTCTCTCCATACATTTGGGATTATGCCTTATTAATAAATTTTCTTTATTGGTGCTTTTAGTATAGAGAACAAGATGAGATATGTGTGTACAGTTCATCATATTTTTGCAGAATAGACATCCCTTCCCCCCTTTGTTTTGTATCATATGAACTGTGTCACTTCCCAAGTGAATTGTAAGATTCTGTCTTGGGTAGTTCTAGATTTTTCTGTGCCAGAGTTGTTCTTGTCATTTGAATAATTCACTCTGGTTTTTGTTTTGGCTAGACAAAACTATAGGTATCTGAACTTGAACACTGATGATAGATTGTATGAAAGAGTAAGGGTGTTTATTTTTTGAATTGCTAAATTCTTCACAAACATTTGAACTATTTTTAGAAGGAACAGGCTTGGCACTTTGGTACTTTTTTTTTAATGGAAATTTAATTTTTTTCAAAGCTATTTGAACTGCTTTGTTTACTTTGAGTGTATTCTCTGTAAATTTTTCAGAAGAGAGAAAAGATACTCTTTTCTTGATAGCCACTTGTAGCCACATGATCAGAGAACAGTTAGAGGCAGGACTAATCCTTTTGCTGAAAGTGAAAGCAGAGGCCTAAAAATAGGCTTAGTAGGGACCCTAGGTTGAGCCTATTAGTATTAAAGTATTAAATAAACTGTAACAATTTATTGAATTCTTAACTCTTTTCCTTCATTGATTTACCAAGTATTCATTGCTTGCTGCTTCACTACATATTATTCTTCACATTCTCACCTGAATTCTATATAGCACAATAGTCCCCAAGCTTTTTATAAAGATCTGTTCAAATCAGACTTCATTTCTTTCTAAATCAGAATATCGGTGGGTGGATCCAGGGTATGTGAATATTTAAAGGTTGTATAAATTCTGTCTTTTGTATTTTCCTGATTAAAAATTGCTAGGAGAGAAGGTATAGCACAGGAATGAATGACCCTATCCCTGCCTTTTTTTAATGCTTTTGTTATAGCAGTTGAACTGTCTTAAAGGTTTGGGAAAGAATTATGGGAAGGTTAATCCCTCGAGTGTGTGCCTGTGTGTGTGTGTGTGTGTGTGTGTGTGTGTGTGTGTGTATTGTTTAGGTAATTACTAACGAGTATGGCTAACAAAAGACAATGTAGATAATTTGTAAATTCTATATTAATAAGTTGATGAGATACTATAGACTATATTTTCTATCAAATTGTTAATGTTCTCCGTCCACATTTTGGGGATTAAGTCTCATTACAGGTTCTCAGTTTGAAGTATCATTATGGGATCATAAAAGCATGTTTGGAGAATTGAAGTTTCCTTAGAGATTTTATAGTCTAATAAAACCTAGAGAGACAGTTATACAGGTCACATGATGAAATTTTCAGGATTCCAGTTCTGTTACTCATTCTAGTTAATTGTGAACTGAGCCATGCCCTGCCCATAAACTAAGATTGTCTGTAAATGGCATACACAGCCAGCTGAGTGGGGTTATATTCTCCCATTTCCCCACAGGATGCAATATGGACTACCTCTAACAGACGGAACAAATAGTCTGTATTTTGGACTTTCAAGCATCAGTATGAGTCCCATTTCTAGACTCACTCTTAGGTATTCATTATCACTAGGGATTCTATATTCCTGTTAGGGCATGCTTCGAAAAGATAGATGTTGGCTGCCGTTTGGTTTCTTACTATGATAGTAGAAGTCAGTAGAATCTTTGCTAGTGATATTTTACTTTATCTAAATTAAAATATTTTGTGTCATTATGCTTCATCACTTACATAACATTAAATCTCTTTTCATTATATGCCCAGACTCTAAATAACTTAAAACTAATTTTTAAAACTGGAAAAAATTAACACATTGTTAAAAGTTATCTGTCAGTCAAGTTTTAGAATTGGTTTAATGAACAAAGGAATATTGTCTCTCCCATTAGACAACCTAATGTGAAAAATGAGAGGCCAAGAAATGTGGTTGACAACTCATTTTCTAGACAGTACTTTAAATTTTATTCATTTTAATGAAATATTCTTGTTTATTTTGACAGATTAGGTTAACTTTTGATCTTTTATTTTTAGCTAGGAAAAACCCCATCTAGCATTCCCTTTCCAATTTAAAGATTAATATATGGCCACTTACATACATTTTTGAAAAGTTTTAGTAAAATGAGATCTTTGTTTCAAAATAAAAGTTGAATTCTGAGATTCAAATAGCATACAAAAACTATTTTATGGGTGCTGAGGTGGCTCAGTTGGTTGAGTGTCTGTCTGTTGATTTTGGCTTAGGGTAATGATCCTAAGGTCGTAAGATTGAGGCCCGCATCTAGCTCAGCATTGAGCGTAGAGACTGCTTAAGATTCATTATCTCTCTCCCTCTCCCGCTCCCTCTCCCTACCTCTCCCCCATTCCCTCTCCTCCCTCCACTCCTCTCCCCTGCTCTCTCTCTCAAATTAAAATAAAGTTAAAAGAAAAACTGTTACATTTTGTAGTTCCTCGGATCCTCTGTGGAAGTCTAGAAATACATACAGCCTAATTTTGGAGGGCCACAGGCATGCATATAAACATAAATGATGGGGAAGAAAAGAAACCTTCCCTAATATTATTTCTTCTTGTATAAAGCCTGTTGTATACAAAGATTAAGTTTTAAAAAATTTATTAATTTTAATCCCCTTATGTTTCCATAATGATTTAAATTGTCAAACTACTTTCTATCTTGAACCTACCTAACCAGTAAAAAAAGTGTTGCATAATACATTTACCTTCCATTCCAAATAAATATATACTAATATTAATATTTATCATACTGAGATCCTATTTTAAGAAATAAAGTATTCCCTTCCTCAGACCTTTTTGTTTCTCTGTTTGGTTTCCATCCTTTCTTTTTCTCTTGAGGGTGGTTGTCATAAATTTAGTGTATATCCAGTTCATGTTTTTTTTTAACAATGCATATATTCACAAAAACATACATTAAAATTTTTTTAATGTTTATTTATTTTTGAGAGAGAGAGAGCATGAGCAGGGCCAGAGAGACGGGTAGAGAGAGAATCCCAAGCAAGCTTCGTGCTCTCAACCCAGAGCCCGATGTGGGGCTCAAACTCACAAACTGTGAGATGATGACCTGAGCCGAAGCTGGTCACTCAACCAACTGAACCACTCGGGCACCCCCAAAACATATATTTTTAAAAGATTTATATATATGTAATCATTCAAAATTTTTTGAAGTTTTTTAAAAAATGAGTTTTGCTTTTGAGTATCAGCTATTTGGAAATAGTTTGAATGTGGTATATCATGATGTAAATACATAGTTTATTCTCATTATTCATAGTAGATGCTCTATAAAGTTGCTGTGAACACCAGATTAGTGAATACTAAACTGTTGTTCATAGCAGAAATGCAGGGTTAGATCCTGTGAGCTTTAGGTTTCATTTTTTGTCAACTGAACCTATAAACTTGTTTTATTTGTGTTTCTGTTTAAAGACACATGAGTATGTATCGTTGATCATTAGCATTGAACCCATGGCCAACATACCCGTAACTCATGCTTGAATGAAGCTTATCCAACCTTATATTTTCTGCATATCATACATTACAGCCATCTCAAGCTTAGAAACGGCAGATAGCGCTTTGGCACTGCTGTGGTTGGAGACCCTTTTAAACAGCAAAATCACCCACAAGAATACGGAACTGTGACGCTACCTATGTCGTGAAAACGACACTTACTTAATAGTACAAAAGATGAAATGAGAAGAGCATTTCCTTGTTTGCCCTCAACTATAAGTGTGTTGATCAATTCAGATTTTTGCACCTCTGCTTATATGCCTGCCCACAGATTTTTATCAGCTCATAGTGTATGTGTGGCTTTACATTTTTTGCTGTCTTGATGGTTGTGAAATGGTACATATCATCACTATTACAATTTGCCTTCTGAAATCTCGGATTTCAGTGTCTAATTATGAATTAGAGACCAGAATTTATGGTTTGTAAAAATACTTTTGTGTTTGAACTGAAAACATACTTAACTTTTTATTGTGATATTTAAGTCTGTAGTGATCTAATCATTGTATATCCACCTTTACTTTTCAGTTTGCTAATCCAGACTTTACTCAACCTATCTCAGAAGTTGTAGATGAAGTAATTCAAAATTGCCCTATTGATGTCAGACGTCCTCTCTACAAGGTCAGTATTTACAGCAAGATTGTTGTTCAATGTCATACTCTTAAAAACTTAATTTTTGGTCTGTTCATGAATATTAAATTTAAAACTCTTTTCAAAAGGCTCTGATAGGATTTTAGAATTGTTTCTTAAGGGGGCGCCTGGGTGGCTCAGTCAGTTAAGCGTCCAACTTCTGTGCAGGGCATGATCTCACGGTTCGTGGGTTCGAGCCCCGCGTCGGGCTCTATGCTGGCAGCCAGCTCAGAGCCTGGAGGCTGTGTCAGAGTCTGTGTCTCCCTCTATCTCTCTGACCCTCCCCTGCTCACGCTGTCTCTCTCTCTCTCTCTCTCTCTCTCAAAAATTAAAAAAAAAAAAATGTTTCTATGTCTTTAAAAATATTTTCTTCCTAAATAAAAGTCAATACTTATTTTTCTCCACCAATATAGAATATTGTTCTCTCTGGAGGTTCAACCATGTTCAGGGACTTTGGACGTCGCTTGCAAAGAGATTTGAAAAGAACCGTAGATGCCAGGCTGAAACTAAGTGAGGAATTGAGTGGTGGCAGATTGAAGGTTGGTTTTCTCGGTTATTGGTGGGAGGGTTGAGGCTTCCTTGATTCTTGTAATGGTGATGGGAAATGTCTGTCAGCTTTTGCTTTAACTTAGGGAAGTAAGAGGCCTCTATCAGGCATTCTAATGGAAAGTGGCTAATATCATTGATTCATGTCTCTGATATTCTTGGTCATTTGATTCCTCTAGGATATTATCTGCATTTCTGGAAAATATTCTTAGTCTGTGTGAGTGACATTTTTTCATACCTCTCTGACAGATAACGTATATAGAGCAGATTCCTTGCATACTCCAAGGATAATATTCCTTAGGGATCCACGCAACTTTAAATACTCCTGTGGTAGTACAGTAGAGCTGAGATGAGAGAGAAGCTGATGTTGTGGGGTCAAGCCCTCTTATACAGACTGACACCCTACCTCTCCCAGCCCCCATAGCAGCTCATAGTGTAAAATCAAATTGGTGGTTCAGCGGAATAAAACTTTTCTTTTACATGTCCTGGATTTTGGGTTCACAGTCAAAATCAAAATTAATTTTAAGTTCTCCTCTGTCTACTTTCTGTATTTATGAGACAGATTTTCAGTAAATGTTACATTTCATCCTTATTCGGTATAGACGATTGAAGCAAAACCTTGATTTAGAAGATATGTGCTAAATAAAAATACAGTTTTTTCAACAAAGTAAAAATTTAACATTTTTAGGCTTCTTGTACAGAATAAATGAGGGTTCTCCCCCCCACCCCCCCCAGTGATGTCAGCTGTACTGACATTAAATGATACAGGAAAAATCCCATTTATTGGAGGTCTCTGCCTTTTTCTTTTATTTGACATTTTATGGCTTTCCCTAACATTTTTATATATCTGTATCTACATCTGTCTTTATTCCCTTTCAATCTGTAATTTTTAATGCAACTAAAGTAGGTTTCTTTAACAGAAACAAAGTAAGCCAGTTTTTATGACCCATAAGTTTTTAAACTTTTTATTTTGAAATAATTTCATACTTAGTGAAAAGTTACAAAACCTAGTGGAAGGAATTCTGATAAATCTAGATTGGGGGAATCTAGATTCCCCAAATGTTAGCATTTTATATTTGCTTTATTCTATATCTGTAAATATATGGACACATCCATATATACATACATTTTTCTGAATTATTTGAGAGTGAGTTAGAAATATAATGGTCTATCACTTTGAAGTATTTTAGTGTATATGTCCCAAACAGAACATTATACTTGTCAAAATCACAGAATTAACCTTGATATAATATATAATCTATTTATAGACCTGATTCAGGGTTCACCAAGTCTTCCATTATTGTCCTTTATAGCAAAAGAAAAAAAAAACCTTTTCTGGTCTAGAATCCAATCCAGGATCACATTGTTTGAATTAATTATTATAGCCTTTCAATCTGGAACCAAGTACTCCATCTTTTTTGTCTTTTTTAACCTTAGTGTTCTTGAAGAATATAAGCCATTTATTTTGCAGAATGTTTCTCAATTTGGGATTGTCAATTTGGGATATTTCCTCATGATTAGTTGGGTTCAGATCATGTACTTTTGGCAGTAATACCACAGAAATGATGTTGTATCCTTTTAAGTATCACTAGACACATGGTATAATTTGTTCCAGATGTTAATTTTGATCATTTGGCTAATAAAGTTGTGTTGGTTAGGTTTCTCTATGAAGTTATTTTTTCTTTATATTTAATAAGAATATTATGGAAAGACACTTTCGGACTATGTAGTTATCTTATTTCTTATCAAACTTTTAGCCACTGGTTTTAACACCCATTTTTCTTTTTTAAGTAGTTACAACTATGGTAGTTACCAACTGGTATTTTGTAAATTCCGGTCATTCCTCTGTGTTTTTTAAATCTCATTCTACTGTAAGGAAGAGTTGTTTCTTTTCATTCATTCATTCATTCATTCATTCATTCATTCATTCATTCAGTAATATCTTTGTGAAAACTCAATTTCTCATATTATCATATCATTGTGATATAATATCAACAATATCCTTAATATTGTTAACATCTTTGATTTTGATGCTCAGATTTTCTCAGATTTGTCCAGTGGGAGCCATGAAAGATGGCTTTTTGTCCTTTTGATGTGGTGCTAGTATTCTTTAGGTGCTGTATTATTCTTGACTCAGAATAATTCAGATTCACCTTGCCCTTTCTCTTCCTTTTTGTGGAAAATGCTATTAAGCAACCAAGTTTTGGATACTAGTTATGTTCATTGTTACTGAGGGTCACTGCTTCAGGCCTTGGGAGACAGAGCTAGGATGTGTGTGTGTGTGCATGTGCAGGCACACACACACAATCTGTGTCTAGTTTTGTATCTGTATAAATTTAAAACTCTGAATATATAGATACTGCCCATTCCAGAATACCAAAGGTTCATTCTAGCCGCCTTCTTTTCCATATTTGTAATGCTGTGTTCTCTGACAGTGAGAAACTTAGTTTCCATTATCTACAATGTATTTATGTTTTTGCTCAAATCTCGAATATATATATAGTACTTTCAGAATTGTTAATCCACACCACTGTGAAAAATGTACCAACCAGAGTCTAGCATTTACTTAGTTTTTATCTCAAGCCAGAGTGCATAGTCCTAATACTGTGTTCATAAGTTACTTGGGTTAGTCGCTTTCCCCACTTCAGTGTGGTGGTTTTTTATCTTTTGAAAATGAGCTTAATTTGTTTCTGTTGTGTTCTGTTTTGCCTTATGTGCGTCCTCTTAAAGCTTTATTATTTTTGGGTGTGTGAAACATTACATTTTTATGTATGTACACATTTAAAGTTAAGTAATACAGAAATTGTTGCTTGAATTTACTGTTGAAGTGCTCTTACTGTTTCATTTTTAGCCAAAACCTATTGATGTACAAGTCATTACACACCACATGCAGCGATACGCAGTTTGGTTTGGAGGGTCGATGCTGGCTTCCACGGTGAGATAAAGCTTACATTTATAATGTAATTTTTCAGATAGAAGAATTCACCAATACTTCTGTAATTAAAAAAATTTTTTTTAATGTTTATTATTTATTTCGAAAGAGAGAGTTTATGTGTGCACGTGGAGGAGGGGCAGACAGAGAAGGAGAGAGAGAATCCCAAACAGGTTTCCTGCTTTCAGTGCAGAGCTGGATGCAGGGCTCCATGTCACAGACTGTGAGGTTGTGACGTGAGCTGATATCAAGAGTCGGATGTTTAACCAACTGAGCCAGCCAGCACCCTAGTGCTTATACAGTATAGGACAAGGGAAATTTCTTTAAATTGCATCTGTATATTGCATGAGCAGGTTTTAAAATTGGATATGTGTCTCTCTCTCTCTCTCCATACATGTATATATATATATGTATGTGTATATATATATGTGTGTGTATGTATGTATATGTGTGTGTATATATACATATATATATACACACAGTATTTTAGAAGGTAGAAGTCCTTTGGATTTTGTTTCTTGCTTACTAGACATTTTTTTTCAAATGAGCATTTATAGTTTTAAAATTTATCTATAGAGAAAATTCTTTTAACCTTGTGATAATACAGATATCAGAAGGTCATTGTTTTTTCTGTGCAAGTATTTAAAAGCATTAAGGTCATTGCACAGGAAGTACAATGTTCAAAACATAGTAAAAGGAATTGTTCTAAGAGCTCTCTCCCCAAACCAAAACATATTAAAATCCCTTCAAATGATAATTTAACATTAGTCCATTAAATATTGGTGCTTTATCCTGTAGTGCACAGAGTATTATATAAAATGAAGAAGATTTAATCTGAATTACTGAATATTATACACACTTGGATTTTTAAAACCATTTACAATGAAGAGGTGAAAATTATTTTCTTCCTTAATTTTAGTTATCTTCATTTGTGCCTTCTAACCTGTTTGAGTTTGTAAGTTTGCCTTTTGAGAAAGGAGTTAACAGAGAGCCTCTGTCCATACTTTGAGTGAGGAAAGCAAGTTGATCTAGAAGTTTTTGTCTATGACTGATAGGAGTTTACCTATATTTTAGATTTGATGATGCTCTTTTAGATTATTGATTAATTGTGCAATGGAGGGACACCTCAGCAGTATAGTCTGGTCTTTTGAGAATCTGTCTGCCAGTCTTTCTTTAGAATTTCAAAATCATGCTAAGGTGGGGGGATGTGTGTTAGGACATGTGGTAAATGCCTTTTCATTTCTGATTAAGAATTATAACTGATTTTAAGTCACAGTTGCTAAAATTTTTAAGCTTTGTTCAAATATGGAGGTGAGTTAATAATAAAAATTTTAGACTTAACAAGTCTATTTTATCAAAAGATTTGTTTTTCAATGTTTATTTTTGAGAGAGAGAGAGAGAGGAGTGGGAGCAGGGGAGGGGCAGAGAGAGAAGGACACAGAATCTGAAGCAAGATCCAGGCTGTCAGCACAGAGGCTAACATGGGACTCAAATTTACAGAACTACAAGATCATGAACTGAGCTGAAGTCAGACACTTAACCAACTGAGCCACCCAGGCACCACACAAGTCTATTTTAAAGCATATCAAGAGGTAGTATGTTTTTGACTTTTGTAAAAATATATGTTTTTATTTTCAGCCTGAGTTCTACCAAGTGTGCCACACCAAAAAGGATTATGAAGAAATCGGACCTAGCATTTGTCGTCACAATCCAGTGTTTGGAGTCATGTCGTAAAATTGATTTCATAATTATTGGGGTTAGGGAGGTGGGCAAGAAATAATCTTTCTGATTACCTGTTTTGTCTGGATGGCTGGTTTTGAGGTTTTAAACCTGACTTGAAGTAAGAAGACCAAACATAATTACACAGGAATATTTTAATAAGTATATCAACACGTGAATGTAGAGGAGAGCCAAAATGATTGTTTTTCTTTAGACTGAATATTTGAATCTTATGTGTAACAAAAAGAAGTGGGTTTTAGTTCTTTCTGTGCCCTGATATTTTGTATATTATTGAATTATTCAAGATTTGATGGGATTTATCGGTATGTAGATAGCTCTATAATGCTTGAGTTGTACACTTCTAAGTGTGCAATGCAAGAGCTTGTTTATATTTCATACTTTTTATACTTTGAGGAAAAAAAGTCAAAGAAAAACTAGTATTTGAGGACAAATAAGTGACCAAGTAAAGGATACATTAAAAAAGCCTCGTGAGACTTGGCGTACACACACCCTCATGGGATTCCAGTTATTACAAATGGCTTCCGTCTCCCTGTACCCCCACAACGGTTTTCTTTGCAAGTGCTTTTGGAACTAAGAAGCTAGTATCTTGGATTAACTGATGCCTGCTAGTGCTTTCTGATTACTCGAATCCTGTTTCTTGCTTTAAAGGAAAAGTAAAGACAAGATTGTTGGACCAGTACTGCAGTTCTGTAGTGTCGTTTCTTATTAAAAATGAATAATTTGACTACCAGAATTGGTATATTTAAAGCCTAACACCATTCTAATAAAGGCACACAATTCTTTTTAATACTTGTTTCAAGCTCTTTAATCTCTTTATAAGTTAACTAATCTATTTTCTTCAAACCTCTGCAGTAGTTCTTTAAAATCACAACAGTTGGTTAGCAAGCTGACTTTTTTATGTGCTCTGAACAAATAATTGTGAAATTTTAATATGTTGAGTGCTTTCATTTTGATAACTGGATCTCCATTTGATATTTTCATTTGTATAACTCATTTGCGGTCTGAAATTTTTTTTAGTGCCAGTCCCTGACATATCATGGAAAGTTAATTTTCTTTGCATTTTAAAATATCTGGATCATGAAGAAACCGTGATGAAAATAAATTAAAACTCAATTACCTTTTCTAATGTTTTTTTTAGAAGCAGTGTCATTCTACTTTGTGTTTATGTATTTTATATGATTTCTGTTTCTGTTGGAATAGTGGGATTCATTGAAATCTCTATAATGTGTATGGCAGAAAATAATCTTGTGAACTTGAAATTTTACCAGCTGTTTATAGAAGAATAAAATGGAAAATGTTTTATAGGCCTTTTAGAACTTTAGCATCAATGCCAGTAAACACTTGAACTTCATTATCCATGAAAATAACACATAGAATTAGTATACTTGTGTCCAAAAGTTAAAGAGCAGTTGAAGTGTCTTTGTATTTCATATAAAGATTGAACTGGGGAGTAAACTTTAGATTTTTAGAGTGCAGCTGGATACTTACATTAATCATTTACATGAGTCTTTGAATGAGGGAGTAAAGAACAACGTGTTTGCCCTGCAGTAGTAGTAGTATCAGTATCAAGGGTCTTTTTATTTACTGAGGAAAGTAGTCTATGAACATGTAAAAAAATCTATTCAACCAGTACCAAAGACTAGATGTGAAAGTAGGTTTATTTTCCTCCCTAGCTTTTCTTACTTTCCCATTACCCTGAGAAGTGTCTTTATGTCCTTGTTATTTTCTGTGTGTGTAGAAGGGAATATAGCTCCCTTATTTTAACACAAATAGGAGTTTGCTACGTATACTATTCTTCATTTGCTTTTTCAAAGATCTTTTGATACAGAAGTAAATTGATAAGCATTAAAGATGTCATCCTCCTGGCCCATTAGCATTGCCTTAAATATGTCTTTTCTACCTAGTATTGTTGAAGAGTGAATGAGTAAGCTCAAATCATGTTTACGAAGCCACAGATTACAATCTCATGCATAGTTCTATAAAGATGTTAACTGCTTGATATAAAAATGTGAAGGTCAGGAATTTTTCTTTAAACTTAAATGTATTAGGGAAACAAGAAGACTCAAACCTTTCTTATGTTTCCTGATATCCCCTTTGCACTGCTTTTATAGGACTGAACTATAATATGATAGAAACAGTACTCTTCTTTCTTCACATCTCTCCTATCACTGTATATCATTTTTCAGTTTATAGCCCCTTCAGTTATATATATGTAGATGCTGGCCAATATGAATTTTAACACTGATTCGAAGTCAGGCTGCATGAGCATGGTACATTGGAAAAACACCAAACTAAGACCAGTGATTGAAAGTTTTATTTTGGTTTTAGAAATTGATGATACAACTCCTTCAATTTTGATTTTTTTGTTGTTATTGTTAAAGCATGAAAGATATATTTGTATAATCTTAGACAAACTCCTTGAACTCTTTGGACTTTAATTCACATATGAAGGTGGTGGTGTTATCGGATTAACAGTGCAATTTTTATGAGTTGTGAGAATTGATTTATTTCTGTTAGTAAGGGTGTTTTCTAATGTCTCCTTTTTAATAGGCATGGCTTTGATCAATTGGGAAATATCAGTGGACAGAAATAAAATAGATGATGGTTATCTAACATGCCTACTCTTCAGTAAGCCGGTTTTTACAACTAATCCTTACATATTAGTACGTTGCATACACTGCAAAAAATCACCTTCTGGTCTGTCTTCCTTTTTGGTAAGAGATAAAACAGTTTTATATGTTAGGTCCACCACTAGTTTGCCTTCAAAGCTACTTGAACAAGTGGATATAACTGTCCTTGCAGTTATTTGTGGAGATACCTTCAGAAATAATAACATAATGTATAGGTATAATAAGCTATTGTATTCTTTATTCTCTACATAATTTCTGCAGAGAAGTCCTGGAGAATATATACATAGAAACTTCCTTCATTCAGATAACCATAAAGATGGTAGCAGAGTATTTTGTAACATTATTGATGAAATTGTAGTATCAGAGGGTATTTGTGGTATTGTGAAGAGGTTTCTTCCACTAAGTATGGGACTAATCTATCAGTGATAAAGTCCCGTGCATTTCTGCTTTTCTTACCAGCTCTGCTTTGACTCCTGTGTCCTTCTCACTGTCATATCTTGTTCATCATAACCATGCGTGAGTCCCTCTGATAGCCCTCTGCAGTCTTGTTAGCTGTTAGCACCTAGATTCCCAATTTCGGTTAATTTCACTAAATAGATCACCTAAAATACACGCAGACCAAATATGTATAAACTCTTGGGGTAAAACGTTCTACTCTGTGCAGTAGAACATATTTCAGTGTAATAGCATGTAGCCAGTATACATGGCCACGGGCAGAGTTGTCTACAAGAAGTTCTCGCGAATGTTCACAGCAAATCCTAAAAATAAGTACTTTGTGTAGTTAGGACCGTATCACATCTAAGCATACTTTAAGAATTTTAGATCTGCTGGAAGGTCTAGAGACTTCAGTGGAAAAGGATTTCTACTCACTATTGATAACTCTTCTATACTGTTCATTCCTCTTCCATATTACTTATTTTTCAGCATACCAGAACTTTCATTACAGTGTGCTTAGTCTTCAGAGAATCTTACCAAAAATAAATAAAAATCTGTGATTGTTCCTGGTATTCCCTATGCCATAACCCAATGTAACTGATATATTTAGAAGTTGGGAGCTGAAATTAAATAACACCTATTCAAATTCAGAATTGTATTAACATTGCTCCCATGTATGCAGCAGCAATAAAAAAAAGTACAAAAATAGAGATGAATGAAGACTTAGAAATATGGCAACTGGAAAAAAACCTGAAAGAAAAAACTGAGAAAATTAAAAATTAGAAGAAAATTACTGTTCTGTTATTTTGATTTTGCAAATGATTTCTCTCTACTGCTTTCCAGTGGTCCAACACTTTTGGTGACTTGTATACATGACACTAAGGTGCTGAATCGAAATGGTTTCACTGTTATTCAGACACTACAACTCATTTATACTACCCGTGTACCACAGCAAATTTTGGGTTTTCAATCCCGGAGGTACTTCTTCAATACGTACTATGGTTCGGGCACTGTGCCTGGTGATGAATAAAACATTCTGTCCTGAGCTCAAAGGCTAGTGTGGTAGTGAATGGATTTCACAGAGGAGTGAAAGATGATTTCAAAGATGTTTTACTAAGCTTAGAATTCTTCTTCATAAGGATGACGGTTGTGGTGGTTTTGAGGGAAAAAAAAACTCCGATAAGTACAGTAAAGTCACAGCGTGTGGCTATAGTTTAAGTCTTTTATGTGTGCCTGAAATTGTTTCTCAAAATAATGAAAAATGTTACATCCAACAATAGGTGAATAAAGTAATTATACGGTAGGATCAGTCTTACTCATTTGGTATTTCTACTGCCTTATATATTACCTGGCATATTGTAGTGGTTCAGTAAATGTGTTTGATAGATGAATAGATGTGTGAATCAAATCCATTTTTCATTTTGAAATGAAAGATTTGAATTAACTTGTGTGTACGACTTTTGGCCCTTTAAAAATATCCAGATTTATCAAGAAAGTAAAACCGAATAATTACATTTTTCTAATCCACATTTTTTTTTTTATCTTAAACCATGATACTCTGTGTAAAATAGTGGAGGATTATTAAAAGGTCATCAATTTCCTGAAGTGGTTCTTCTGTAGTTCTTTAAATTTTGGTAATTTTTAAATCTCCATAAGGTAAGTGATTGTGCACTCTGAATCTGAGCATTGTGCAGTGCTAATTGAAATGGCTTGAAATGTTTTGTGCCATTCACCCATCAACAGTAGAAACCCTACTAATTTTAGCTTTGGCTTTTATTGATCAGTTTTGATTCCCTCTTAGTCAAATCCCATTCTGAGACAGAGAAGATGACCTAAAATTTCCTCTGTTTTCAATGAATAAGAATCAGTGGTACAGTGGATTGTTAATCTTTCTTGGAGACTTATTAGAAAGTTGATACTGGAATTGTGAGTACAGCCTTTTTTGGGGAGTACATGGTATCTTTCACAAACAAATTCTTAAGAATCCACTGTTCACTGCGGCAGTAAGAAAATATGAGACATATGTTTTGGTGCCATAATGTTTAGTTGGGATATCTTGTACCTTTATGAGATGACTAAATACAGTTCTATTAAGGGGCGCCTGGGTGGCTTAGTTGGTTAAGTGTCCGACTTTCACTTAGGTCATGATCTCGCGGTTCGTGGGTTCAAGCCCCGCGTCGGGCTCTGTGCTGACTGCCAGCTCAGAGCCTGGAGCCTGTTTCAGTCTGTGACTCCCTCTCTCTCTGACCCTCCCCTGCTCGCACTGTCTCTCTCTCTCTCTCTCTCCTAGAAATAAATAAAACATTAAAAAAAATTATAAAAAAAAATAAATAAATACAGTTCTATTAGAATAGACTGATTTCTCTTTCCCAAGACCATGAATGACGAGGAAGGTTTTGGTAGAGTAGGTAGGGAAAATAGTTTAGGCGTGGAAGAAAGGGCTTAGTAGCAATTAGTGATTGTGGGAAGGGGTGAATGTGTTGTGGCTGTAAACAAATTGGAAATAGCGGATAACAACATTGGGGGATGTGTACTGTCCTCACACATGGATTGAAAACCTTAAAAATGGATGCAGTTAAGGTTGCGATCACATATGCAAGCAACTGACATCAGTAACATGGGATTTTTAGAGTTTGGTCTAGTCCAAATCACATTTTACCATTGTAAGTGACTTGGTAAAGGCCATGTAAGTAGTTAGGGACAGAATAAGACTTGTAATGATTATTTTTCTGTTTTATTTATACTGAATAGCATGGTTTCTGAAATATTTTTCACAACGTTTATTTGGCAGTATTGCTTAGACTCTCTGACCATTTAGTTGAGAGAGTTGATAGCCTTATTGTGCTAGATGCTACTCAAGAGAGGGAGGTATCACATGGCCTAACAATTTTTTTTACATTTATTTTTGAGAGAGTAAGATGGAGATGAGTTGGGGGCGGGGCAGAGAGAGAAGGAGACACAGAATCTGAGCCAGGTTCCGGGCTCTGAGCAAGAGTTCAGCACAGAGCCCAACGCAGGGCTCAAACCCACAAACCGTGAGATCATGACCTGAGCTGAAGTCGGACACTTAACCTACTGAGCCACCTAGGCGCCCCATTAAATGACCGTAAATATGTCTACCAAATCATGCATGATGTCCTTAGTTAGCAGGCTAAAGTGTTAATAGCAAGAGCCTAAAACTCAGCAAGTCTGTTTGAGACTGAATTGGAAGTTATGAGGAAATGAACTCTTTAAAAA